GGGGGGGGGGGGTTGTAGACTTACGTGCTGAGCCTCCTGGAGAGGGTCTGCAACTTTTTATCATTGTCAGCCTCTCTTGTCGCCCGCTCCAAGGCCTGGGCGCGCTCCTCGTCCTGCATCTTAACAACCTCGTCGTGGCTCGGCGGAAGCCTCTCGTTCTGCAAATCAACTTTTCTGGCATCCTCGAAACTGCTAATGGCGTTCTTGATACCCTCGGCACCCAACATAAGAGTACCGGCGGGAAGACGACCACCAGAAACGGTCTTGAGTTCCGTAACCCGCTCGGACTCCTCTCTGAGGACCTGGAAGACACGCGACAGACGACCGATAGCAAGGATCTTGTTCTTGATCGCCCGTCTCTTGAACTCAATAGAGTCGGGATCTTGATTAGCCGCAGACGGGAGGGCCGGGGAGGCTGAACCGGGCGAAGTTGTCGCGGACTCCTCCCTGAGTTCCTCCTCCGAGCAGGTGCTGAGAATGGCGATGAGCATATCGGTAATCTTCTCGCCGACGAAGGGAAGCGACCAGGTGAAAACGTCCATAAAGTTGGGGAGCCAATAGGGATGAGGCGTGCAGTTAAACTGACGGATGTTCATGACGTTGTTTTCGTACTTTAACACCGCAGCCTTGTTGTTGTAAACGTCGAGATAGTTGGGCGCGGAGAAAATGGTCATGACACTGGGGAATCCGGTTGTCCTGGTCTTGCGGTACATGCGGTAGCCTGCATCCTGAGCCTCGTGCGCGCGAATGATGGAGAGAAGGTTGTTCTTCTCCAAGAAATGGCAAGCAGCAGAATAGGAGAAGAAATAAGAGCAACCTCGTACGTGGTTATGTACGAAGAAGTCAGTCGTCTTCTCTTGGCCAAAGTCCTCTAGGGGATCGGCCCACAGGATGTCGCACATGAGACCTTGTGTGGGGGGCTCGCGGAAACGGTCAATCTGCACAAAAGTCACCGGGTTAGTATGCCCATACCATAATGTGGCAGTCAAGTGGCTGTTAGACTAACGTTTCTGATGTCGTCGAGAGTGTGAAGCTCGGGGCTCAAACCGCCGTGAATGCAGAGGAACTGCTTGTTCATGACTGCCGCCAGCGGCAGACAACAGAACGACTCCATGCATGCCTCGTAGATGGCCTCCGAGTACTTGTGCTTGCACTCGAGCTTGAAGGTGAAGTAGTCGGTCAAATGCCGGCACTCGTGGTTTCCGCGCAGCAGCCAGAGTGTCTTGGGGTAGTGGATCTTGAGCGCCCAGAGATACAAGACACACTCGATACTGAAGTAACCACGATCAACGTAGTCGCCCAGGAAGAGATACCTGGTCTCGGCCGGGTCACCACCGACCTCGAAGAGCTTCATTAAATCGTAGTATTGGCCGTGAACATCACCGCAAACGGTAATGGGAGCGTCCATCTCCAGCAGGTTGGGCTCGGCGCGCAGAAGCTTGGTACCCTCCCTGATGATCCATAGTGCTTGCTCCTCGGTCAAACGGCCCTCACGGTAAAAATGTTGTTTCAGAAACTGGATGTCGGGCTTGGTGTGGGTTTCGTCCTCGAAAAATTGCTCGTCGCTGGGCTTGAACATGGCAGGCGCCTGAACATCTGGAAAAGAAGGCCAAGACGGCGCCTGTTAGAACTTGCAGTACAGAGCGAAAAGGGGGAAAAGGTCAAGGTGCCCCAGTAGTGGTCACAGGATCGGAACGAACGACAGTCATGATCTGACAGCTTTAGGCGGTGGCGTTGAGGAGGAAAGGAAACCTACCTTTGCAGACACGCTCCATGGTGCTCACTTGGGAGCCATCCTCCATGGTGTGAATGGTGAAGTCGATCTCGGGCAATGGCCTCTTGTGCTGGATGGCGCGAATGGCATTGTCAACCTGCTGGGTGTGGAAGGCGCCGGGCGCGCCGGTACCATTGTTGCTTTCCATGTCTCTGGTAATGACGGATAACAACTAGCAATGGCGGCAGCAAACAAGAGACTGAGCAGTCGAGAGAGTCTCCAGATATGTGACAAGGTGGGAGGTGTTGGGCAGGGTTCGTTAGTATAGAATCCCTAGAGTCGGTCGCCGGACTTGTGCGATGAATGTGGTCGCAAAAGGGACAAGACGGGCCAAATGGTCGAGTTTGAGGGGAGGAAGGCGGGTGTCGAGGAGGAAGAGCGAGCAATGTAAGGTTGCGAGCCAATATGTAGGGCTGAAGGAGGAGGGAGTTGGGCGGCCGGCCGAGGAGTTGAAGGAGGCGACTTCCAGTCAGTTTTAGGTCCGCGGTGGACTGAAGTGGCAGCCAGCATGCACCAGCACTGAACAGCGGGCGGCGAGTGGTTCACCAGCAGTGAATGGATGGCACCCAGGGTGCAGCAAACAGCGGCCGGGCAAAGCTGGGGTCCGGGTGGGATGAGGGGTACAACCTGGTTGTTGCCTTCAGTTTGTTTCCCGCCGTTGAACCACGGACAATCTGAAAAGTACCCTACACGCCTCTTTTGATTTATTTATTTTTTGGCGGGCTGGATGTAAGAAGGCTATTGCCGTTGCGTGTTTCACCTATTCCAAGATTTACAAAAGATGAACGAGGGGATTGCGTTGAATGGTATGGTATAGTGTGAGCAGATGTGTGAAAAATGTGCCGTTTTCGGCTCGTATTTCTCGACAAAGTCTTTGAGGCTGATGCTATTTACAGTATCAACAATTTACCGTGGAATCCATAACAGAAGGTAAGGTACCCGGAGCGGGCACGTTTTAGGGGTTCTGGTTAAGCTTCATTGCCGAAACACCTGCAACCAGGAGAGGGAACAGCGAGGCAAGGAAGCCCAGGCACAGGTCCACAGGGGCTCTCTCCCATCTGATATCAATGGCAACGAACTGAACGTACCTATCAATCCGTTGCAGCGGTACGCCAACGGATCCCAGCCCAGCCTCGATGCGAAAATGCGCCTTGGACTCACAAGGAACTCACTGTGTCTGGCGATGTGCGTTCCCATGCGGCAAGTCTTGAACGAACGTCATATTACTCTTGGCCTCTGGTGTTTCCTTCGCCCAAATCGAATGCCTGGGATTTCTCCTCCAAAGCTGTGCGCCGTGAAATTGCTGCCAGACGTTGTGAGGCTCCAAGTGTCAGAAAGAGGGTCTAGACCCGGCAAGGCCCTTCTTCAGAGGCCGCCAGGGACTACTAGTTCTACCTAAGTACCAGGGACAGGTCCAAAACTCACGTTGGAACTGAACTCTGACCGCCCAAGCAGAGCGCCCCTCACCGCCAGGTTGGCGGGCCGCGGCCACTTTCGTCGTCATTGAATACCCCACTCAGCTGCCCAACAGCTGGCGATAGATACACCGAAGCTGTGCTCCTCCGAGGCAGAGTTCAAGGCTCCCTCGGGGGGCCTGCACACCCATTCACAGCTCCTTCCCGGGTATCCTCCAATGGAAATCATCACGGAAACATAGACTATGCAATATATTGCGTACAGGAAGCCTTGCTGGCGACAGCCTGGTGTCGACAACGAGTATTAAATATTCATAGAGCTAATCTATCCAAGTCATTATTCATATAGCAGTCATAGAGGTACCTAACGCCTCTGGGGCCTTTAGGGGGCACAATATCCGCCATCAACCAAAAGGTCTGCGCCAGTCGTATAAGAGGACGCATCCGACGCAAAATACAGATATGCGCCCTTCAACTCGTTGACCTCCCCTTCGCGGCTGTTTCAAACTTGTCAGCATGATTTCCAACTTTTGCGATAGAAAAAAGGAGTATTCCAAACTCACCCCATAGGAATCTTGTCCTTCCAAGCATTCTTAACCTCGGGCGAGCAGAACTCCGAGATATCGGTCCTGATATACCCCGGCGAGATGGTGTTCGCTCTCGCAAAGCCCACCCACTCCACAGCCAGCGACCTGCACAGATGGATGACAGCCGCCTTGGAAGCGTTGTACGCCGCCTGTAGCTGCGGGATGTTGGCAATGTGGCCACTCATGCTTGCTGTCGCGATGAAGCTGCCGTACGCGAACCCTTCGAGCTTCTTGCCGTCCATCGTGGTCCCCTCCTGCTTCTGCCTCCGCCAGTGACGCCCGGCCACCTGGGCGCACCAGAACGTGCCGTCGACGTTGGTGGCCATGACCCGCTTATACGACTCGGGAGGGCCGTCGAGCGCGGCTCCGTCCGTCCAGGGGATTCCCGAATTGGCGACGAAAATGTCGAGACGGCCGTTGAACTCCTTGATGATCTCGGTGACTACGGACTCGACGGCTTCGAGAGAAGTTACGTTGACTTGGTATGCCTTGCCTGTACACAAGCACGATCTGGTTAGGCAACTAGAGTAGGTCTCGACACAGCAGCAGTAGTAGTAGTAGCTAATGGGAAGGGATGGGGAATACGTACACTTCACGCCGTACCTCTTCTCGATATCTGCGGCCGCATCAAGTGCCTTCTTGTTGCTGTTGTACCAGATAGCCACGTTGGCGCCAGCTTCCGCAAACGCCTCCGCAACTCCGTAGCCGATGCCAGCTGCGGCTCCGGTGACAATGGCAGTCTTGCCCTTCAACGAGAAGAGAGACATGACACTGTTTGTCTGGGGAGCCACAGTGATGTCGTGAGCGAACCTTCCGTCCTTCATCTCGGCTGCCATGGTTGAGTTTATGTTATAATCTGTTAATGTGAGCGCTTCAAGAAGTCGGCTTGATGGTACCTAGTCTGCGGTCAGGGCCAGACAAGACGGGCAAGTACTTTAGCCAATTTTAAGAATGGCTCAAGTCGAAAGTCACTACAACAACAAAAGCAACAGGAGGGAAGGCGCCAAGTAGCGTGCCATCACCGAGGGGGTTGTCCTCCATTATGTATAAACAGATCCCCCACTCTTCGCCCAGGAGCTCGTAAGCTGCAAGCATGGAGATAGAGAGATCCACCAGGACTACACCAGCGAAGTCTGGCTGAACGAAGCGAACTCTCCCATCGGACCATACAAAAGATGTTCGGTTACGGGGAACCTTCCTAGCATGTACTGTGTATGTTTGGTAAATGTATAACCGGTTCGCTGTTATCCACTGGGTGCCAATATCGGCGCCGGCTTCACACGAGTTTCAGTGGGGGAGCTGGGGAGCTTGGAGCAACAAGTGAGGGGCCCCGTGGGTGAGCCGGTGAAAGAGACCCTCGCGTAGCTGCACCCCATGCAGGATGATGACAACGGTGGAGCTGCTGAGTTGTGGTGCCCCGTGGTCGCTGTCCGGTTGTTGCACGTTTATCTGATGATCAGGGGTTTTCGGTTCATATCCGGGTGAAGTTCACCGAGACGGTGGTGATAAGTTCTCGTTGGTGGTAGTTTATGCACCTTTACGGTGGAGACGCGGGATAACAATCTGGAAGTAGCGAGTGAGGCTTGATGATCAGAAAGGATCAAAGATACGAAGCTTTTGTTGCTTTTGTTGTTGTTGTTTCATCGGGGAAGCTTCTTTTCTCTTTTGGCGGGGCGGGGATGAAGGTTGTGTGGGGGTAACAGAAGCCGGGGAAGTACGAATTCCACACCACCCCCTACCTTCAACATCGTTTCATTCCCGTCTTGTTGTGTTTTGGATCTTAACATGTAGGCGATGCTTCATCGTCCGCTGGTCTCTTTCTGAGTTTATGAAGATTATTCATTGCCACCCTTCTGGGTCATCCTCGTGGCTGTTCACAACTAGAAGGACGGATAGGAAGCGCCTTGGTCAGATTTAAGTATGCGTTTGTCCAACAATGTATCCGTTATCCAAGATCCATACAGAAGACGTGAAGAGACACCACGGTCGTTCCTGAGAATATTCACCATCCTCCAGATAATCAGTCCTTAACCAGTAACCCTCGGAAGAACCTCGCTCCTTGGGTAATTCGTGTTTCTCCACCGAGAGATGAAGTCATCGCGGTTGACTGTTGAACAAACGTTGTTAATTACACTGCCACACAGACAAGAGGGCTTGCTTCAAACTCCAACCGAAGGGGAAGAAAAGAAAACACTTACTATACCCTCCACAGATCCTCCTAATACCCGAGAACGCGCTCCGTCCATGAAGAACCCTCCAGTTATCGAAGACTATCACCTTTGTCAGCCACCCCATCATCATCACTCTCAACCAAATTCCAAAAGAAAGACTTACTCAACGGCTTCCCCGGCTCCAACTGCACCCACAACTCGCTACTCTTCCTCCTCAAAATCTCATCCCACTTCCTCGCCGCCTCGTACCACTCCGACGGGCTGTACTTCTCACCGAACGGCACCACACCCCTATCATCATTATTCCACCTAACCCTATGCAGTTCCCCGGTATCCTCACTCAACTCCAGCACCGGATAAAGCTTATCGGGCGCAATCGTGATCCCTTCGTTTCCACTCGCATGCCACGGCAGTCTCACGCTGCTCAAGATCTCATAAGCCCGGGGATCCTCCTCCTTCAGAATCCTCGCCGCGTTGAACCCATCGACCAACAACGACTTTCCCCCTTCTGCCGCCGCCTCCCCTGCTGCTGAGCTTGCAGCTTCTTTTTCTTCAGAAGGGGGAGGAGCGGCCTTATGCTCTAACAAGTGAAAAGCCTGCAACCCTGCCGGGTCCGTGAAATACGTCGTATCCGTATGCGCCGGCAGCGCCAGGTTCGTGTACGCCGTGTCGGCCATCGCTAGGTCGGGCGTGAAATCGTAAAAGCCGCCGTAATGGGTCACTCGGATAAAGGCGATTCTCTCCAGAAGCTGGCGGGTCACGTCCGGGTCGTCATGGGGTGTGTCTTTGACAAAACAGAAACCGAACTCTTTGATCATGGCGGTTAGGTCGGCGACGCCCTGGTCTGATGCCATCACCCGTGGGAAGGAGACGGTTGGAGGGCGGGAGCCGGCTTCGGAGCCCCAGAGGGAGATTTGGTCGTTTTCATGCCCGCGCGCGTTGGAGGTGAGGTAGAAAGAGAGGAAGGGCCAGGGGTAGGTGGATGTGTGGTTGTCGGACCCTATGATGAAGGGGGAAGCGAAGGTGTTAGTTGGCTGGCTGGGACTGGGAGGTACTATAGGTAAGGTGAGCGTTTGTTTTGGGACAGGGAGATGCTCACATTGGACGGTGACGTTCTCCTTGGTGGCTTCAACCTTTGTTGGGTGGATGTCGGAGGGGATCTGAACATCGGTTAGACGTGGTGAAACCGACTGAAGAGAGGAACATTGAGTGAGTCAGACGAGCTACTTACGGCAAAAGTGTTGAAGTTTCTCTGGAGAGTATCTTGGTTCACGCATTTCGTACACCGGCAGTTGTCACTGTCGTCCAGTTGTCAATCGATGGAAATCCACATAGGGCTAACCGTTGAGTCGAGTCAACGTCCAGCAACGAAGACTTACCGCAACCAGAAGTTGGGTCTACAGAGTCGATATCAGTAACTAGTTTCCATGAAGGTTTGCTTCTCAGGCAGTGAAAAGAAAAGAAACCTACAAAACAGTCCGCTTTCCTCCCGTAACAGCCTGTGGAGGGCTCAACTCAAGTCCCTCAGCCGTTATCTCCGCCTTTGGCTCATGCAACCTTCGGAAAGAGGATGAGAAGGTTCTTCTCGAGTTCTGGGCAGTTGATGAGGACTTTGCAACAGTGACGGCAGCACAGATATGGGTCCTCGAAAGAGGTTGTCTAAACAAGGAACGAGCGGCGAAGTCAGTCGAATGTTACCATTGATTTTGTCATAGGGGTTCACACCTGCTGACAACAGCTCTAGAGCGGAGGATTGCCCCTACCACTTTCCCTCTCATCTTTGGTTTTTGTTCTTTTGAGGTGACTTTAGGGAGTTGATGTCCTGGACAATGGCGGAGAGGATATGTAGTAAGGAAGCGGTAAATTCTCTTTGAGCCTTTCCGTATGTAGGAGTTATGTACGTCTAAAAGCAGGGACAATGAAAACATGCAAAAGTACCTAAGAGATGGGAAATCAACAAAATGCCACACCTTGAGGATCGAAGAAAAGTGAAAAAAGTTGCAAGGACAAGTTGCCGATGAGTACTGGACATATATGTCGCATCATGATCACCACACTATCGTCTTATACCAAGAAACGAAACGAAGTAACTTTGTATCTTGGTTTCGCGATGGGGCCCCTTGCTCCGAGATGGAGCGGGACGTTTCCGTCTGACTTCACTTTGAGAATCCACTACGCTTTGCCTCGGTTGGCATTGGGTTGGCTCCGCTAGAGCGCTAAACCGAATCGGGAATTATAAGTCAGGGACGTCGAAGCCGAACCCGAGCGCTTGAGGTTGAGACTGACATTCCTATCGACAATGTTACAAGCTTGAGTTCGATTTTACTGTAGTTGTACTTTCTACCTAGATCGCATGACCTTTCAGATGGAAATAGCAGGTATCTATTGCGCCCCAATACGTATGTCCCATATTCTCCCAGCTATTCCTTTTCCTTGCCGGCCTCATTATCGTCATGTCAAGTCCCAATGTACTTAATCATATCAGTACACCAAAAACCGACAGATCCTTACCATTTGAGTCGTTACTCTTCTTCGGCTCCTTCACCTCTCACATCCTCTGTATCTAACAGCTTATCTTCTCCAAGCGAAAAAGCGCTCCCACCACGACCCAGCTGCGATGGCAGGCTTGACATCTTCAATGACGACCGGTGGAGACAAGATTACGGTGTTCCAGACCTCCTCACCATCAATGAACAGGCGGTATTTTAAGTCGCTCTGTTCACCTCCCTCGAGGTTCTCGATGGTGATAGCACCGAACTTGGAGTTCCCCTTGTTGATGTACCTGGAAGGTTTGTATTAGCAATGGTGTCCAACCTCGAACAATGGGAATTCGGTGAGCATAACTTACTTGATCTCAACATCCTCCGTGTCTCTTTGCCTATACGTGCCAATAGGCGAGTAGAACTGGCTCAACGGGCTAGCAGAGAACTCAAACACTGTAGCGCTTTCAGGCCATGTGCTGTTCATCGGCGGCGGGAACTTGGTAGCCGCAAACTCGTGTCTATCACCAGACAGAACAACCACACCAACACCCCTGCTCGCAGTATCCCACATGACCTCCAGGATCCGTTTCCTCTCGGTCAAGAAGCCGCCCCAGGTATCCTGCGTGTTGACGCCCCAGTTCTTGGTGAAGGGAACCGATGACGCAACAATCTTCCACTTGACGCCCTTCGGCTCCGGGCGCCTGAGCCAGGCAATGAAGTCTTCGAGTTGTTCGGCGCCTAGCATTGTCTTGGAATCGTCGGTAAAGGCAACCTTGTTGTTCGAGCGGTAGGTGCGAGTGTCAAGCAGGAAGAAGCTGGCAGGACCCTGGGTAAACTCAAAGTATGTGGCTCCGCTGCGAGCGCTGAGGGCACCAGCCTTCTTGGCTAGCGGAGGGTTGGCAGCTGCGTGGTAGTGGTTGTAAGGGTCGATGGCGTTCTGGTATACGCCGGTGGTGTTGGCAGACCAGTCGTTCTGAATTTCGTGATCGTCGAGCACGTGTATCCAGCTAAGGTTCTGGCCGACAGCTGGCCAATCTGGAGAAGCGTAGACCTGACGATACTTCTTGCGGTATTCCTCGGTGCTCTTAGCCCAATAGCGCGGAACATCGATGTAGATGAAGTCTCCAAGGAAAAGCATGAACTGCGCACCCAAGCTGGGGAGGACCTTGGCCAAGTGTCGCATACCGGGAATAGCCAATGGGTGATCCGCCGGATTGTAGGGCAAGCGGCTCACAATGCAGGAGGTCGAGAGGAAAGTGAGAGGGCCCTCGCCAACCTTGGGAGGAGTGGTGAACTCTCCGGTGTGGTTGTTCGAGGTCTTCCATTCGTAAGTTCGCCGTCCCGAGTTGCGGAGGGGGATCGTAACAACAGCAGTGTAATCGGTCTCGTTTCCGGTCCATCTGACACCGCCAACTGATTGCCACAGAGGGTTGTCAAAAGGAGGCTGGGGGTCCTTGAGATGAATCTGTATGTTGATGGGCATCTTGGTCTGATCCGGCTCACGGATCAAAAGCTTAGCTTCGTGTTCGCCGACATAGCCAACACGGGCAAAGGAGAGGTCCTCGGCACCATAATAACGCTCGCGGAACAATCGATCAGCGACGAAGCCAACCAACGCAGCGTTGATCAAGAAGGTCAATGCGGACAAGGCCAGGCTCCGCGGGTTGGGTGCACCGCTGAGGAGAGTTCGCAAAGCGTGCATGGGTCGCTTTTCGATCGAGATGGTCTCTTGAATATCTACCTGTTCGGCGACCACCTTTTCGTTGCCGCTAGGAGTAGGCTCTCCAGGGCTGTCGTCCGCCTCGGCATTGTCGTCCCTGATGGTTGTCTCGGTAACAACCACATCAACTTCATCAACCAAGTTGTACTTGGGCTCCTTGCGGTAGCCAGACACGAAAGTAGGCAGATAGATGGCGAAGAGTGTGAAGATGAGCGCAGGACCAAACTTGATGTCCTCATCAGCTTGAGGTTGACCGAAGACACACAAAGGCTACTTACCGGAAGCATTGCCCATCGTAGGAAGAAGTAACTGAGGGCCCTTATCCCGATGGACGATATGGCCGCTGCTCGCGTTTGTGATATCGCCATTTTGGCTGTCCCCTCCCTTACGAGGTAGCCAAGATGATTCTGAAGTTGAGGTTGTGTAGCAAAGACGGGCAAGTCTTGGGTTTGTTTGGAATGGGAAGATGGTAGCCAGACTTTATGTCATGGATAGGGCTGAATGAAAGACAATGGATGAGGTTATGGAACCTATCATTCGGCGGTGGAGAAGCACTAGGAACCTAATCTGCTGATGCCCAAATAGTCCAGAACGACGTGGATAGTTGTCATACGCGTAGAGTTTGGAACAAGAGTTGGGGGAAGCAAGAAAACAGGCATGCAAAACACGAGCCTGGATTGTATGACGCCCGGACAAACGATAAGAATCGAGACATGGTCATGTAAACTGTTAGTAATGACTTGCAAACAACGGCGAAAACATAACAGCAGATGTGGTTGACCCTTTCCTCTTCATTCCATTGCCAATCGCATATTGATGTCACTCTGCTCGGAAACCGCCCGGCGACCCCAGTCGAGGGTCCAGCTTCGAAACTGCTGGCTTGGCACACCATCTCCCACACAACCAAGGGACTCCCTGAGGTCCAGTGCTCTCCTCCCCTCCGCGGGCACATGCAGCCCAGCCCACTGAAGCTTCCATTTCAGGGGGCGGGGAAATGTCTCGGCTCAAAAAGTCTGGGACACAAACAAGAAGTGGAAGCTGACAGGAAACCTAATGATTCGAGCCGTCAACTGCCCTGCAGCCACCTACACCTGGCGGGCTATTGGATGTCAGCAACAAAGGCGGTCAGGAAACTGAGAATGATGCGCCCCCCCAAAAAAACGTTCAAATGTTGGTTGTAGCCCGCCCAAGTTCCGGCCAGTCCCCCAGGAGTGCCAAGACCCGCCCCGTGCTCCCAGTGGACAACTTGAAGTGGAATACCTAGCCCACTACACCTAGTGCTTAGGTCTGGCCGTCGAGTTGCCCTGTGCTCAGCTTCCCTTCGCGACTTGGCACCCGTGAACTCCAAGTTGTCCTGAAGACGAACTAAGCGACGGGAAGACGGGATCTGCAAAGTCAACATCGAACACCCCTAGGAACTGCAGGCAATTCCTCCGTACCACAACACACAGCACATCATGAAGCTGTCGACAATAACCTGTGCCCTGTTGGGCTTGGCCAGCGAGGTCGCCGCCACGGCCCTGACTTACAAGCTCGTCGCCAACGAGAAGGCCTGCTTCTTCGCCACGACCAAGAAGGCCAACGAGAAGATTGCCTTTTACTTTGCCGTACGCCTACCTCAGATTCGCGTCATTCCATCAGATATGCACGCGACTTTCATGCGCCGGGACCTATGTGCTAACCTTGGCTGCGCAGGTACAATCAGGAGGCTCGTTCGATATCGACTATGAAGTGACCGGCCCCGATGGCAATGTTATTATGGATGGGCAGAAGGAACGCCAGGGCGACTTTGTTTTCACCGGCAAGCAGATCGGTGACTACAAGTTCTGCTTCAACAACGAAATGAGCACCTTCGCTGAGAAGTTCGTCGACTTCGAGCTTGCGGTCAGTACACCAGGCGCCCCCTTTTACTCCACCACCTACCACTTATACTGACTGTGAGGGTATAGGTCGAAGATGAGGCCCGCGTTACCATCCCTTCGAAGCAGGGTAGCTCTCCCGAACAGACCTCGGCTCTCGAGGAGTCTCTCTTCAAGATCTCGATGCAGCTTTCTACCGTCACCCGCAACCAAAAGTACTTCCGCACGCGCGAGAACCGCAACTTCAGCACAGTCAGGAGCACCGAGAAGCGAATTGTCAACTTCAGTTTGATTCAGATCTTGCTGGTCATTGCGATGGGTGCTCTACAGGTCTTTATTGTTAGATTCTTCTTCCAGGTAAGCTTCACATTTTGTCCAACTTTCCAGGCTGGCGTCAGGATGCTAATAGGATGGACGACACAGGGTGCGCGGAAGGGTTATGTATAAAGGTGTACTACTTTTATACTCCCAAGGAGTGAGATTGATTTGGTCTTGGCCGGGCGTAAGGCACAAAAACAGCACAGGTCTTGCTTGCATGGGGTGTATATCATATAATGATGGCTTACGAGTTGGCGACGGAGGGTCATATTAACAACATGCCCCTGTGTCTTGGTTTTCGATCTACATGTATGACTGATGGATTTTTTTGGCGGCCAGTTATCCCTAAAACATAATAGAAGTGCAAGCGTGCAATGACAATGGCACTGTGAATATTCTCAGCAGGTCAAGTGTACAAGTTGGAGCGTACAGACCTGAGCTATTGCGAGCCAGGGAAATGTTTTATATTGGGCATGTTTACGGGAAATTTGGATCTGAACTTCATATCCAACATGACACTACCAGCGGTATACGAAAGAAAAGAGAGCCAGCTTTTGGTGTTTTGATGTCCCCTGAAAGCAGCAGCAAGTTACCTCTACATTCCTGCACATGTATACAAGTCACTGGGGCTGATAAGGAGACTGATAAGGCTGCCCCTGTCTCGTCTGCTGTGCCGTAGCCGGTAGGTACCTCTATGCCAGCGCCGCGGCTGCAGTGCTGGCTACTGTGTACAGGTACCTACGTATCTCCACTGGCTCTCTTCTGGCGCCACACTGGACCTTGAAGCGTCGCGCTTGAGCCACCTGCCATTGCCCGGAACTTCTTTTCATTGCAGGCAGTGATGTCGTAGTAAACGTCAACTGCCAAACCCCGTCGCAACCGATTTTGCGACAATCAAGCATCACTTCAATAACCTCTCATTGATCAACAATTATGGCTTCGATAGCAGCAGGCCTGTCTCAGGCTCTTCCGAAGCCAAAGTACAGCGGCGAATACGAAGAATCAAAGTCACAGCAACGCGGTCCCAGAATTGTCGGCGCCGGCCAAATTGACGAAACTCAAGTTGTGCTGAGGGTCAGTAACCGCACCCTCCACTATCCGCTTGCGTGCTTGCTTTCGAAAACCGGCTAATGCTAACATTCCGCTCTCCCAGAGAACCGGACCACCACCGTATGGAAATCGACAAGGTTGGCGACCGCGTGCACCAGAGGATTTCGGCGATGGCGGTGCCTTTCCAGAGATTCCCGTTGCTCAGTATCCCTGGGGCAAGGACGCCTCGAACAAGTCGAACGCGTTAGTTGTTCAGGTTGATGGAGAGGGCAAGGTCGACTACACAGCGATTGCACGACAGGGTCACAGCAGCGACCGGGTCATTCACGCGTCATTCAAGGATCTGATTCCATTGCGACAGAGGGCTGAAGCGGGCGATCTTGACTTGTCACGACCGAGCAAAGAGGAGGTGGAAGCAACGGCAGAGAGGACCAAGAATGCACTGGCTGCGTTGGTCAGCGGCGCCGTGGCGTCCCAGAAGCCCAAAAACATCAACATCAATACGAAGCGAGAGCCGACATTTGTGCGATACACGCCATCAGCGCAGATGGGAGACAACTCCAAGAAGCAAGACCGTATCATGAAGATTGTGGAGCGACAGAGAGGTATGTCATCCAAGACTTGAGCATTAGCTGTGGGCGGTAAACTAACAATTGGTAGATCCCATGGAGCCACCCAAGTTCAAGCACAAGAAGATTCCCAGAGGACCCCCAACTCCCCCTCCTCCAGTTATGCACTCGCCTCCGAGGAAGTTGACGGCCGAGGATCAAGAGGCATGGAGAATCCGTAAGTAATCTATCTGTGTCACAAGGAGAGTGGTCTACTAACAAGCGACAGCACCTCCTATTTCCAACTGGAAGAACCCCAAGGGTTTCACTGTTCCGCTCGACAAGAGATTGGCCGCCGATGGCCGCGGTCTGCAAGATGTGCAAATCAACGACAAGTTCGCCCAATTCTCGGAAGCCCTCTTCATGGCCGATAGACACGCCAGAGAGGAAGTCCGACAGAGAGCTATGATGCAGCAGAGGCTGGCAGAGAAGGAGAAGGCACAAAAGGAGGAACATCTTCGCCAACTTGCGCAGCAAGCCAGGGCGGAGCGCGCGGCTGGTGGACGGAGCAGGAGGTCACGATCCCGCTCTTACAGTGGTTCCGAATCTCGCTCCGAGAGCGATGATGACTCTGAGCGGGAGAGAAGGGAAGCGCGCAAGGAGAAACTTCGCGAGGAGGAGCGCAAACTCAGACAGTCGCGTATGGGTGCGGAGAGGAGAGCCCAGGTCATGGCCCGCGAGATGGACAGAGACATCTCAGAGAAGATCGCCCTCGGTCTCGCCAAGCCCACGCAGTCCAAGGAGGGCATGTATGACTCCCGCTTGTTCAACCAGTCTAGCGGTTTCGACAGCGGCTTCAACGAGGACAACCCGTACGACAAGCCTTTGTTTGCCGCCCAGGAAGCTATCAGCAGCATTTACAGGCCCCGTGCCAACGCGGAGGATTTCGACGATGAGGCGGCGGGCGAGAGCGAGATGGCGAGGATTTCGAAGTCGAACAGGTTCGGCGAGGCTCTGGGTCGTGGCACGTTCAAGGGTACGGCTGAGGCGGAGGCGAGGGAAGGGCCGGTGCAGTTCGAGAAGGACACGGGGGCGGACCCCTTCAACGTGGACAAGTTCCTCAACGAAGTGGAGAAGGACGGTGCTTCCTCGTCGAACAAACGCGGCTATGGGTTGAATGATGGAGAGAGGGACTCGAAACGAACGAGGATCGATGACGATGAGGACTAAGTCAGTGGCTCTAGGGTACTGAGAAGAGCCCATCGTGTTCTGTGATGTCCAATATTGGCTCGGGCTTTGTCGTACTGCATGTTAAGGAGTTTTGTTCACATGGGCGATTCAGACATAATGCAAGCGAAATAGGATAAAGAAAGTACTTTGCCTGACCCCCGATCGAAGCCGAGATGGTACATGTTTTAACTTGCTCTTTACAGATTCCCGTCTTCACATGATAACTTTCCAATACAATAACATGCTCAGCAACAAACAAAGAATGGAGATCTCTTCATCTATCCGTCCCCGAAACCGAGTCCCCGAAATGCTAGGGGAGCGTGGATCTATCCTCGTCCAATGCCTATATGTTATCGTATTTGTACACAAAGATAAAAGCATCTATGCCACCCCCGTTTTAACGCCGTTTCCCATATCCCAAGTCTTATGTCCATGTATACACACGCACGCACGCACGCCCAGTCTGCCTGTTACCTGCTTTTCCAGGTCTCATCGCCGAAGACCTATCCGGCTATTCCCCTGGCTTCTGCAACACCAAACCCAGTAGTAGTACATCAAGCCAAACCAGACCAGACCGGACCGGACCGGACCAGATCAGACCGAAACGTTCGTCACGAACAGTGTCTAACCCTCCTCCTTTTCTTCCACATCTTCCATCTCTTCCACCTCTTCTCTTACTGTTCGTTCTCACCCCTCCTTCCTTACTCCTCCTCACTAGGCATCCTCATCCAAGCATCAATAGCCGCACTAAACGCCGCAAACCCCGCACACCCCACCGCCGCCGCTTGGGGACCTCCATTCTTCGCCAGAATCGCGCCCGTCAGACATCCAGCAGCAACACCATTACCAAGATCATTCTTCGCCCTGAGCCCTTCAATACCGCACTCGATACCCGAAAACAGGGCACCGACCTTGGCGAAGTTCTTGGCTGTGCTGTACGACCGCTGGCCCATGTCCTTGAAGCCGTGTTTGAGCTGCTCCTTCAGCGGCATGGACGAGAGGTCGACGGGCTTGTAGCCTGGGATTCCGGCGGCCGCTGGGTTGGCGCCGGGGCCGGTGCCGGGGGCGGTGGGGGAGTGGTAGGGGGTGTCGTATGCCATCTGTTTGGCAAGGAGAGGGAGTTAGTTGGTTGGTTGGTAGGTAGGGGGTGAGAGAGAGGGAAAGAAAGAACTGAAGAAAACGTACCGAAGCCATAAACATTCCAAAAACACCACCTAGCGCGAAACCGGCGCCTCCGCTCATGACGGTCTTTGCGAAGCATGATTCCATGGCTTTTTGCATCTGTTATGTTTCGTTGTCTCGTTAGCATCATCTCTTTTCTCCTTTTTAAATACTGAGTATCCAAGTCGCCCCCTCCCTGACCATCAACATCACCCGCCCACCCGCCCGCCCGCGCGCCCGCCTACGCGCGCCTTTTGGCTAGGACTAGTCTATGCGATCGATAGCCAAACACACAGACAAGACCATGGACATAATGTGATAGCTCTTGGGCCTAGATAGCTCCAGCTTGACAAGCCTTGACTACCATAGCCACCGCCACCACCATCACCACCACCTCCTCCTCCTTTTCCTCCTCCTGCACCACAGCAACAAAAGAAGAGTCCAGGTAGGGTGACTACTAACCATCTTAATGTTCGGATCATTAGGATCGTATCCTCCAGGCGCAGCACCAGCACCACCACCGGGCGCACCACCGCCAGGCATACCAGGGAAGTTCATCTTGTCTGGCTATTTGTTTTCTTTTCTTTTGTTTTCTCGTTTTTTTCTCGGTTCTAGGTGATAGGTTCGCGCAGGCTTGTCCGGCAAGCAAGTAGGCTAATCTGTTTTCGTCTTGTTCTTTTCTTTAATTCCGCGTGAACGTCGTTTATCCGCTCGAGCGTTCGTTCGTTCGTACGTTCGTTCGTTCGTGGGTTCGTGGAATCAAAGCTCGCGACAACGCGATCGAGTCGGGCTCGGGTTCGGCGGGAGAAGGGTAGGTAGGATTGATTATATGCTTGGCCCACTTCTTCGTTGTGTGGTCGGTGATAAGGTAGTGGGTGACTGACTACTGGACCGCGGTGATGGCAATGATGTGATGAAAACCGACTTAGGATATGTTGCAAGGGGCGCAATCGCAATATAAGAGTCGAAAACACAGGACAGTACAATGGATCAGATGTCGGTTCAATTGGACGTGAACTCTGGCTCTCGCTCGTCGCTCAGTTTGCACTGCAAGAAACTGTGGATGGCGATGGATGGGTCAGTTGAGCACTTGAGCGCTGAGCGGATAGGTGGGTGTGGCGGGCGTGGGTGAATGGATAGGTAACTTCCACTTTATCGCGAATCAATCCATCTGGGGAAACGGCTTATCGGGCGTGGGAAAGATTTCTGCCTTGTCTCACCGCCTAAAGTTCGAACATCATACCTATGCCCAGTATATACGGTAGTGTACATGCGTTACCGCCCCCGGAGGCCGTCCCTCGGCGTCCATCGCCCGGGTCCTACAACGGTAGAAAGACCCGGATAAATCGACTGTGTGCCCAGATATTTCGGCGGTGTGGGGGCCGCCTGGCCAATGGGAAATCGTGAGCCACCATGTTAGCGCCTGCCAAATTTGCTAGCGAGCAATATTGTGTAACATTTCTGTATTAGTAGTAACGATTGAAGCAATTGAGTATATTGCCGTCGCTATTATTATTTACTATTGTAGTCAATAAGTATAGTATTAAGGGGATTTTACTTATTAAGATTACTAACTGTATGCTATAGAAATGCCTGAAGTTATCGATCTAACTACCTCCTCTCCAGCGGGCTTCCCTATACTTATACGTACGCCCAATCCGACTCCTTCAATTAAATGGATTGAGATTGAGCTATGCGATGATGATTATAAATTTCTCGATATTAATAAATTTATTAAAGACGAGAAGCTATCTCTAGTATTAGCGCTAGTTCTAGCGATCCCTATGTACCGCCGCCGTTACTCCCCCTTAAGCTCTTCGAGTTTATTATTATTATTAAATTCTTCTTCGGACTAAGATAAAGAGATAGAGAAAGAGGAGGAGGTTAGTAAGAAGGAGTCCGCCCTTATTGAACTTTCTTCCCGCTAGTAGACCGACGTCGATACTGCCATTAGAGAGATTAGTAATATTGTTAGACAATTCAGATTTGGTATTTCTAAATACTATACTAGTAACTACCAGCGAAAGGGGATAATTTGCTTCGCTAGTTAGTATAATATTGAGTATATTATAGTGAAGAAGCGTAGTAAGAAGTGTAACTTTAATACCCTTCTTTAAAGACTGTTGGTAATAAATATAAAAAGAAACTACGAGTGGTAGGGAAAGGTAGTATTTAGTATTAAAATTACGGTATAGTAGTTTACTCTTATGAGGGGAGACTACAATTATCTCCTCAACCCTGATAATACTATTTATTTTGCTATTAACCGTTGTTAGTATTATATAGAGGAAGTAACTACTAGTATCCTTCGGTTAGCGAAATAGTTAAAGACTTCCTTATTAAATATTATATTTACTATTTATAACGAATTCCCTAGTATTACTATTATTCAACGTAATATACTTAATATACTAACCGCTAATAGAAGGAAGGAGGCGGGTGCCCTTACGCTTATATAGTAATTCTTTAATAAATTATAGTTAATAAAAGGGGTCTTTAAGGAAGTCTACTGTTATAACGGCGAAGAATTTGGGCTAATTAAGAGAGTCTTCTAAATTTATTTTTAGTATATCGAGCAGTTAAGAAAGAATTCCGAGGTTATAAGTTTGGACTATACGTATAAAGTTAATAAATTTAATATACATCTCCTTTAAATATATAGTATAATGGCTATATATATGATTTTTAATATTAGTTATTATTTATTTAGTAGAAAAAAGGAAGTATACTTTATGTAGGTATTTAAGTAAATTGAGGCTATATTAATAATATATAGTATTCTCCACCCTCTAATTATTATTATAAATTATAATAAAGTTTATAAGAAGGTTTACCGGGTAGTCTTCCCTATTATCTAATACTAAATCTATCTCTAGTATGTAATAAAGAACGTCGCCTTTAATATTAGAAATAAGTAGGAGGGTAGTTTTAATAGTATATCCTTTAGTAATAGAGGAAGTAATAAGATATTACGGGCAAAGGGTAGATAGTAAATATAATTATATGTAATTGTACAAAGGAGAAAGGAAGAGAAGTATATAGCCGAATATTTAAAAGACTGGCCTTATAAGGGTAACTACTAGCGGGTCTACGGACCCGCGGTAGGCAACGCTCTAACTAATTAATTACCGGCAATATAGTACCGGTAGTAATAATAGCGATAGTAGTCTTAGAAGCTATTATACGCTAGTATAAAATATATAAACTAACCCTATAATACTTCTCCGGATTAAAAGAAGCTATATAGTTAACTACTATTATATAAAATAATAGAAATCCTTATTAAACGAGTAGTTCACTCTTAAAAAGTTTTTATTACTATTATTAGCGGGTATTATTATAACTTCCGCCGCGGAATTAGAACTTCCCGCTTTACCTCCTTCTCCCTTCGCTTCTTCTCTACCGCTACTTAATCCGGAGGGTACAGCGCTTCGGAGTAACTACTATAAAAAGCCCGAACTATATTGGGGGCTATAGATATATCGGCGTATAATTACTATAATAGTATATATAGGGGTACTTAAACTATAAAATACTCTTAATAACCTTTATTATTCTTCTAATAATTATTAATTTTTTTAAATTCGTATTTGATAGAGTCCTCCCTATTATTAGTCCTCCTTATAATCCAACTATAATTAGTATAAACGTTCTATTCCTCTACGGCTATTTATTTTAAAAGACTTTCTTTATCCTATAGTTTAACTGTATTAATATAAAATATTAAATTATATTTTATATTAATTAGGAATTTAAATATTATTTAATAGCTATCCGCTTTAAAGATTTCAAAAGGGCCTTCGAAAATAGGTATAAACTTAGTGTAAGGCCGGCTAATATTAAGGTTTTTAATATTAAAAAGGACTTTATTTCCCTCCTTATATTTTGGTGCGTCCGATCGACGGGCGTTTATATTACTTTTATAGTATTATTATATTTATTAAATTTATTTCGTAATAAAGTCTAAAATTTATTTAAATTAATTAATTAATTTATTAATTTTAAAGTACTTTACTTATTATACTGCCAATATTTCTAGTAGGTATAACTTTACTAATTTAATACTTATATAGGGTTAAAAAACTATAATTAGCAAAGAAGGGGGAGACGCTAATAGTTTTAAAAATTAAATTATTACTAGCAAACTCCGTAATTAGTAATTAATCTATCTAATCATCCTAGGCCTAATTAATATAAAAGTAATAATACTTTTTTATCTTTATATTGATATATTTAGTCTAGCTATTAATAATAGGGTAAAAAGCGGAGGAAGGTTTAAGTGTAACTTCCAACTATAATAATAAAACTTTTCAAAATTACAAAATAAATTAAATATTATAATTGAAAATAATGGAGTTTAATAAATTTTAAATACTATAAATTCTTTTAATAAAACGTTCTATTAATTCTTCTACTATTAGACCGATAGTAGGGATATAGTATTTTATTTTCGTAAGGCGATTAATAATAATAGTAATATATTTAAATTCCTATCTATAGCGTAAATAGGGCGTAAATAGGGTAATATAATCAATCGAAATATCCTTCTATAGTACAAATAGTACTACTAGCGGTTTTAAAAAACTATAGGGAGCGTATTATAATAGCTTTAATTTAGTGTATACTAAATAAACCTTATAGTACGACCTTATAGTAATATATATCCTTAATTAAAAGAAAGACTATAATAATAACGAATAGGTTTTTTCGTAGCCTAGGTACTTAATAAATAGTAAATTATAAATATAATAAAGGAGCGAAAAATAAAATTCTATATTAGTAAAATCGATAAAAATAATATTATAGAAGTATATTCGTCCCTAAATTATTCGGTATTTAATAAAAGGGACCCTCTTTATATAATTTTTAACTTCTTTAAACTATATTCAATAATTAAAGTCCGATAAATAAGTAATAACGTTTTAGAAAATTATCAACTTCTTATAGCCTTCTACTGCTAAATCGTCTATTAACCTCTCGTTTAAAGTCTTTAATTTATAAATATACTTAATACCGATAGGGACTTCCTCCTTACCTCCATTTTTAAAAATGAAAACTCTATAAATAAAAATATTTTAATCGAATAAAATATTATTTCTAACTAATAACCGCTTATTGGTTTCGTTTTTAAATAAATTTTCTAACTTCCCATTTAATATATCGGAATGTACTTATAAGGATTTAAGGTAGTAGTTAATTATAAAATTAAAACGGGAAAGAAATTAGGACTATTATATATAACGGGGGGTAAATTATTTATTAATTATGAAAATCTTTAAATTTTTATAGTTAGTAAGGATTTCGAACAGTTTTTAAGCTCCTTTTAATTTAGAACGCTATTCCTTAAGGGCTTTAATAATAATTTATAACTCTTTATTATAAGTATTATAATTATATTCCACTAAAGAATACTACTAATTAAAGTAAGTAACTAGATATAAAATACCCTCTTCATTATATTAGGATAGAGTACTACTATACACCCAATTCGAAGTATTTATTTTAATAATAATTTATTTAGACTAATTATAAATCTAAAGTATTAAATTATTATTGAAAGTTTTCTTAAGAATTTTAAATAATTTTTAATAGCGGTCGGTCTACTACTATTCTACCGATTTCTTTATTAATTTATATAATAGACTAATAATAATTAAAAAGTATTTAATAAATTATTAATAGAAATTAGCGAAACTTAAGAAACGTTATAGCGCCCTTTTAATTTCTAGAACCTTCTAAATTTCAACGGCGGATACTTTATTAGAGTTTATTTCGAATCCTCTCGGGGTAATAATTAAACCAAAATATGTTATCTTTATAACCTTGAATTCGTATTTATTAATATTAATTTATAGCCGTATTCGAATTATTTATTATAGGACTTTCCTAATATAATTCTCGTAGTTTCTTTCGTAATTTAAATAAATTAGAATATTATTAATATAATTCTAGAAGGTCCTTAGGGCGCCTTAAAAGCCGAATAGGTAAATAATAGATTTATAAAGACTGAAATAGGTAATAAAAATAGTAAATTATTTATATTCTTTCTTTATACAAATCCTATTAAATATAGTAATTATATTAAACTTAATAAAAATCTTTATATAGTAAATAATATTAAAGGTCTCTTTAATTAATAGTAGTAGGTAATACATTTTTAATATTATATTAATAATATTATAATAATTAATATAAATACGGACGCTACTATTAGACTTTTTTACTAAAAAGATAAAAGATACGGCTATAAATTACAATAAACGGATAAAATTCTTTTTTAAATTCTTATTAATTTACTTTTTAATAATAATAATTTTAATTAAGAATATACAATATAATCGTACATTAGGGGGGGTCACTCCCAACTAGAATTTAATCCTATAATTATATAAATAATTGAAAAGAATTTCCTTAGTTGATAATAGGAGGAAAACTACTACCTTGTTAATATATTATCGTCCCTCTAACTCTTTTAAAATAGTAATAACTTTATTCTTAATTTTAATTAAACGGTCAACCTTATTAAAGAATTTCTTTATATCTTCGTTAGAGATTTTAAATAAATATATATATTGAATAATTTTTTTATAAAGCGGAGTATTTTTATTAAAGTTTCTAATAAAGTAAATTACTTTAGCGAGAACCGCGGCTTCCCGAAATTTCTCTAATAAATAAACGCTAACTAAATCATTAATAAACCTATAGAAGAATAAAGGGAAACTTTCTTTATATTATTAACTATTACTCTCCAAAATATTAATAACTATCTCCTTGGTTAAATTTATATCCTAAACTTCTACTATAATAATTAACCTCTCAATTTTAATATAGTTTATAATATATAGCTATAATCGCTAGGATTTATAAACGAAATTAAAAATCGCTATATTAAACTCTCTAATATTATTAGATTTAAAGGAAGAAATACTATTAAAATTATAGTAATAGCAAATTTAAGGGCGCTTTATACCTATAAAAACATACTAACCGTTAAAGCGGATATAAAAGTCGTAGGGTACTAGGCTCTTAATCTTAATAAAAAGCGCAATTATATTTATAATACCAACTTTAGACCCGGCCTTACTAATTATTAATACTTTAATAAGCGCGGAAATAGGTTAATAACCGGCCTCGAAAATTCCTAATATAAGAATTAGTAATACTAATATTATTTAAATAGGTCGAATAATTCTATTACCTAATATTAATTCTAATAGTACTAGGGCTACTTTAATAGGGGGAACCGTTTTATTCTCTAAGAATAAATAAGGAATTAAAGTTAGTCGAGGAACTAAAGCTAATCGGAGAATTAAAGCTAATTGAGGAATTAAAGCAATCTTACTATAAATAATTACAATTGAAATTCAATTAGTAAGGGCTTTCGGAACTACTAATTAATTTCTAGGGAAATCGGTAGATAAATAGCGGCCCTTATAAACGGAATTAATAAAATATATTCTATAATAATTATTATTAATTTCGGGTTTATAATATTATACTTATAGGAAGCCTAAAATAACCAAATAATTCTTAAAAATATTATAAATTAAAAAAGTATTTATTTTATTATAATACCTAATACAAAATTTAATTATTACTTCTTCGGAAAGAATATTTTTAATTACTCTATTATATAGAATGAACTTCTTCACTTAACGGAGGCGGAAATAAGGAAGGTTATATTTAATAACAAAAGAGTAATTAATAAAAACAAACGTAGAATAGCTAATATTAATAAGAGAAACATAATAGTTTTTATACAATTTAATTATAATATAGGAAAATAAGAGTATTAAATTTAGGGAAATAGAATTATTTAACAATTATATCCTAACCTCCTCTAAACCCTCTAACCCTAGGGAGTCTAAAATTTATTTCTATAATAACAATAGAAAGGGCTTTTATATATAATTAAGTATAAAAATTAAATATTTTCTAATTTATTATAATACTCGCTATTAGTAGTAGCGGTAGCGGGGGCTATAATAGAAATAATAGTAATAGTAATAGGTATTATTTCAATAGCGCAAACTTCCTCCCTATTACAATAACCTCTACTTTTACCTTTACCCTTATTCTTCTTACCCTTATTATATTAAAGGCCCTAAATATTATAATTAATAAAAATAAAATAATTATAAACAATATAATTATTACCTCCATAATAGTAATACTTACTATTAAAAATATACTAATTAAGAATATTTTTATAAATAAAAATAGCGAAATTAATAGTATTAAAATCTATTTTATTACTACCCTAATTAATTAAGATATTATTAGTATTATAGGAGTTGGAAGTACCGCTTATATTAGTATTAGTACTACTAGAACTTCTACCAATAGGAATACTATTACCGAAAATATAAATATTTATTTTATAATAATAATTAATATCCTCTAAATTACCGGCGATAGTATAATAAATTACTAACTACTTTTTAAAATCGTTAGCTTCGGGAAGGTTATAATATATAAGAATATCGTACAAGCGTTTATTAATTTTATTATATAAATAATAAACCTTTATAGAATTATTTAGGCCGTAGAGGTTTATAAAGTTAATAAATTCTAATTTAAACTCCGTAAAAAATATATTCTTTATAAAGAATTCTTCGAGACGACGGCTGGCATCTATCTTTAAATTAATATTCTAGAAGCGAATAACTAAATACTCTATAAATTCGGTACTAATCTTCTAACGCTAGGAATTTATATTTCTTCTATTTTAAATAATATCTAAATTATTCTAAATACTAAATAAAATTTCAAAACTTAGTAATATAATAGTACGAATAATTTTAATATCCTTATTAATATAAAGGAAAGGGTTGTACTTTTATTAGGATAGAATATAGAAATGCTAAAATTCAAAAATTTCGTATTTATAAATAATATTAATATTCTCTTTACTAGTAAAAATTAGCGGATTTTCTATGATTTACTTTAAAAATAATATTTTACTAATATTAATTATTTTAATATAATTACTAAATAAGGATTGAATATTAGTACTATAAGACTTAAAGGCGGTGTAGTCTATATTAAAGTTATTATATTTCTTCTAAAGGTTGTTAAATTCAACCTTTAAATTAAAATATTTGAGGTTCTTCTAATCGAAATTATTTTAAGCTTTAATAACTACTTCGTAGGCAATTTTTAATTCGTTCTTACTATATTTAAAATTAATAGTAACATCCTCGTATTGAGCGAAATTGTTATAATAAAAGTAATTGAACGGAATAATAATCAAACGGAAGGCGGGGTTTTAAATAAGGATATTAATTATATTAAAGGAAATATAAGGAATAATTTTCTTCTCCTTATTATTATTAATACCAATGAGGAGATTGTTAATCGCTAGTGAGGGGAGAAGTTTAATAAGTACAACTTAATAAATAGTAATATTAATAGTATTAATAACCTTATTAAATACCTTATAAATATTATTCAAATTAAATAGTATACTCCTAGGAGGGGTACCGAAATTAATAAGATTGTTAATATTATTAGTAGGAGAGAAGGACGTATAATCGCTACTCTCAGCGTAAAATATAAAGAAGGTGATTATATAAAACAATTTTTTATTCCTCAAATAAAAAGTACCTACCCTTATTTACTAAATAAAGGGAGTAAAACTATAATTATTATAATTACAATTATCGATATTTGGAGTACTAAACTTGGCGATTCGACGGGCGAGGTAATTCCTATACGTATACTAATTAAAAATTAATTGCGTAATAAAAAGAAATAGGTTTGTACTATAAATATAATAATTAAAAGGTATAATTAATTATTATAAATAAAGGGTAGATAGTAGATATAATTATATATAATTATATAAAGGAGAAAGGAAGAGAAGTATACAACCGAATATTTAGAAGACTAGCCTTATAAGGGTAACTACTAGCGGGTCTGCGGACCCACGGTAGGTAGCGCTCTAACTAATTAGCTACTGGCAATATAGTGCCGGTAGCGATAATAGCAATAGTAGTCTCAAAAGCTACTGTACGCTAGCACAAGGCACATAGGCTAACCCTGTGATATAGGAGTTACTTTTGTAAAAATTATTAAATAGATATTAATTCTATTAGTAAAGACTTTATTGCCCGCTAAATTACTATTCAACTATTGAATAGAGACGACCGTAACTATTATTTAGAATTAGGGACTAAGAATCCCTTTATCTAGCCAATTAATAGTCGCGCTCCTAAAGGGTTAAATTATAAATAGATTAATAATGCGGATAGGATCTTAGCTACTTGGAAGGCAGTTATTTACTCTAATATAGAAAAGGGATTCTATAAATAATAGAGGGTAGTATTGAGAGAGTTCCCCAAATAAAAAGGTACAATTATTATATCTATCTATTATTATTTATATAATTATTAATATTTCTTTTTACAATTATAATTAACTACCTCCTCTTTGTTTACCTCCTATTAAGATATAAGTTCGCCTATTTTGCTATTAGATTATATTGTAATTTTAGTATAAAGGTATCCTCCCGTATAGGGGGTGCCTATAGTATATTAAAAGTACTACTCAAAAACCGCTACATTAATTTAAACCAGCTGCTGGGAGTTATTATAGAAACCCTCAAATAGTTAAAAGAGAATTTTATTATTAATTATACGTACTAGATTTTAAAAGATGTAGCGAAGTATAAGTATATTGCGCTGGTAGACTTGAAGTTTATAATTAATTTTGCTACCCTCAAATTATTTTAAAAGTAGGCTCAATTGGCTAGTAATAATATTAAACTATAGATAGGGCAACGTAATATAATGGATCTAAAAGCAAAATACTCTACTTACTTTACAAGGTAGTACGGATTACCCTACTAGTACACGTTATTCGATATTGTAAGGCTCAATAGTATTATACTTTAAAGTCTAGTCGATAAGTATTAGTTATTTAAACTAAATATAATAAGTAACTATTTCTATTAATTTATTTACTTACCTTATTAACCATACTTTTATAATTATTATTTACAGACTAGCTAGTATTATATAATGAGAGAGACCCCCTCCTAATTATTATAAATTGGTAGAAGGCTCGCAATGGTACCTAGCTTATACCCTCCCTCCTTTGAACTACCTTATTAAGTATTAAATATAATCTATTTTATAACGCCCTCCCTAAGGCTTTAATATAGCCTCTTCCTAAGAAGAAGAGGATAACGAAGGTATTACTAGCTAATTAAAGGGAGTAGGAAGCTAAAGTGGTAGTAGAGAGTACAAGGTTGGAAATAGAGAGATTAAAAGTACAATTCTAAGAATTAAGGGAGTTATAGCAAAGAGAGGCACAGCTGGAGGTACGGCTGCGGGAGCTCTCAAGTTAATAATAATAAATTCGACCGCCGCCGCTATTATTAGTATACTATAGGTATTAATACTAGTAATACTACTAGCCGACGGCTATACTCCCTCCCTTATAGTTATATTTAAATCCGTACCAGCCGCCACCGTTTGGCTAACAGTAGTCTCAATAGTTGTATTAGTTCTCCCAGTCAAACCAACAATATTAATACTAGTAAATTTGTAATTATATTAGTATAAATATAAATTCTACAATTTTAGTATATTTACGTAAATTAGTATCTCAGAAAGCCTCAGCTGTGTAAATCCCTGTGCAATTTTGGTGTAGATGTTGCACATATGTCATTTTGCTGGAAATTTAGCGGGCGGGAACATGGGTGTATCATTGGCCAGGCGGCCCCCACACCGCCGAAATATCTGGGCACACAGTCGATTTATCCGGGTCTCGGTAGAACGGCAGTGAACGCCTCGCCCCACCGCGCGGACATCTTACCATGTGGGTCCCGCACCCGCACGACCCGAACCTCAAAGCCGTTGTGGAGCAAGTGTTTCAGAGAGCCCTCAAGGTGCCCATCGGTTCGGAAAAGAAGAATCAAATACACAAAAACCATCATCACACTCTGAGCCCGACCATTGTTGCCCGAGGCCATTGTGTTGTTTTGATCTATGTTCATTTTGTGTCCAATGCCTGGCAAGTAATATCTACTCGTACCCACGCCTTGCCCATGCTTGCAATGCCGTCCGTTGATGACATAACAGAACTTCTAGGACTTTTAGGAGTATAATAACGATAGCAACGAGTGCACCGCAAAGATGCCCGACTACGGGACTTCCTGAAGACGAAAGACCGCTTACACCCACAGCTGCTCAACAGACGCCAGTGTATAAGCCACCTCTTTCCCTTCTCAGCAAAACAAAGAAGGTTATTGCAAGCGCCGCCGCCCAAATGCCTGCCTGCTGAGCAATGTAATGTGTACACTCTGGCCGCACCGCGCACAGCCTATCCAGATAGAAACTTGGTCGGTAGTAGCTTGGGCAGAAAACAGCAAGCACTTTCAAAAACCCTAGCACTATCCATATTACACTTATCCCTTGAGGAACAAGTCACCACCGCCATTTCGCGCCGACCTTGACCGATCAACGTGGTCCAGGCCAAGGTAGTCTTCTTTTTCGGCCTTCTCATACAGGATGTCGTCTATGCAGCAAACGAGTTAGTCATGACATTGGGAAAATGATATCGGTAGGTGCCACAAACCGTCTTGGAGATAGATGGGTCGTGAGAACTGAGCCCTCCTAACCACAGCGAACTTGATCTTCTCGAAGCTCTTGCCCTTGATTCCCAATCTCTTTTCGAGCCGCTTCTTCGTCTCCGAAAATGGCTCGCCCTGTGATGACCATTTGGTTAGATCTCAAAGCGTTCAAAAGGCGATGAATGTGAAATTACCTCTTTGATCAAGAATCTGAACGACATGCCGTGAGCCCTGCTCGGTTCGTTTTGGAAGTGGAAGACGGTAATATACTGGTTAGGATCAGTAACACCAATCTCCTCCTCGGGTTTCCGTTCAGCCACAACGGTGGTGTACTCGTTAATAGAGATAACAGGATAGTTTCTGTCGAGATCTCTGTACCACTTGTTGTTGCTGACTTCATATACCCGGATTTGGCCGGCCTCCTCCTCGCTAGGAATCTTGGCCTTCTTGACCAACGTCTCGATCAGGTCCTCAACCACACCACTCTTCGTTACAAGAAGATCGTATTGGTCCTACTGTAGCGTTAGTAACGTAAGCAGCCACCAATGTTACCAAGCGACTCACCTCTTTTGTGATGCCCTCGCTGAGCCAAGTGACCTTGAGGCTCTTCTTGGTGTCTAGCTCGGCAAGACTAATGTCGAGAACTTCGTAGTAAAGTGCGTCTGATAGTTGATTGAGGTTCATCTGCCCGTATCCCGGCGGGGTAAGGATCCTCTCTACCGTTTGGTTGGATAGCTTCTTGACTGCCGTCCTGGGATTGCCATTTGCACCATTGATGGTATAGAACCGAATATGAGTAGGCTCGACACCTATGTGCTCTCCAACCTTCTCCGATAGTTTGTCATAGCTCATCTTGGAACTCAAGACAAGCTCGAACTGTGGGTACTGCTGAACATCAGCTTTTTGGGGGTGAGGGCAGAATCTTACGACCTTGCGGTGGTACAAGAAGTCGTAATACTCCCTAGCATCCGTCAGCTTGTCCGATGATTTAGCGTGTTCAGAAGGCTTGCTCTCGCCAAGACCAAGTCTTGACTTGTGCACATGGGTTCGCTGGAAGCAGATGATGTCTCCGTCCTGCAACTCCTCGGTCTTAAGAGTTTCCTTGCCTCGTAGCGGTTCCACCATCGTTGGCTTGATCTCCTCCCACAGCTGAATCTTCTCTCCACTGGGAACTTTTTCGCCCCAGCCCATTTTCTTCAGAATCACAGGGACCAGATCCTCGACCTTCTTGTCCAACCTCACGTAGACATGCCCAACGCCCCTCAATGTTTGGCTCTCCACGTCAAACCATTTTAGGAACAACAAGATGTTATCCTTCACAATCGCGCCATTAGCTTGTGCCTGATGTGATGGCCAGATGGGTTCACCGTCCGCGTTGACCTCCTCAGCCACTTCTGCCCACACACGTAAAGACTCATCCCGTTGGGCAGTAGCTTTGGAGTAGGTTTCCTCCACTGTAAGCGCAAGATCCATGATAGGAACGTCCGGGCGAACTGTCTTGTTCTGGCGATTCACCATTATCCACAACCGGACCCGTTTAGGATCTTGTCCAAGGTCTGCTGCAATTTTAGCGACCAACTGCTCCATGGTATCCTGGCGAAGAACACGATAGTAAATCGGTGCCCCGGGATCTTGGTCAGGAGTCGTGTCGAAGTAGGTCAGATCGGTACCGCCGTGCTCCTGGAACGTCGCTTCGGTGACGACCTTTACCCCTATATACAGGTGTTGTTCCTCCCTCTCCTTGCGTCGGGCTTCACGAGCAGCCAGCTCCTCTGCGAATCTGTTGCGGAGATGTGGAGGTGTGTCCTCTTCGGTAACCTGGGTAAGGATCTGGTCGATTCGGGACTTGCGGATATACACGAGCATGTAAGCGCTATTGGGTCGCATGATTGGTGTCTTCTTTTGAGGTAAAGTCCTAATTTGTCCATTCGGCAACCGGAAAGGACCGCCAAAGTTGTCTTCCAGGACCTCAAGCTTCCTGGCCTTGGTGACTTTGTCATCGTCGTACTTGTACCAATTTCCGTCCTTGGTGGGCTTCAGGAAAGCGTAATAGTGGCCGGTGTTAAGGTCCCCACTGTGTACCAGCACACCATGAAGCTCGTATTCCCAAGGTTCCGATCGGTCGGCGTCTTTCTCGAGGAAGGGAGCGGCATCGAACTCCTCGGGAAACTCGTAGCGGGCATTGATCTTCATCATCGTGTCGCGCTGAATGTCGTATTCGAAGCGTTTCAACTGCAAATGCAGAACATCGGGAAAGCTCTGGAAGATGACGCCCTTGTTGGCATCCTGAAGTTTGTACTCGTCGCCAGCATAGTACTGGTTTTCACCGTCCAATTTTTCCACCTGGATGTAGTCCTGGAAACTCTCCAGCAGATTCTTATTGCCGCTGACGTTAAGTTGGACATCCCAGAAATCTTCAACTCGACTGGATTCGTACGGAACGTTGATGCAGGAGATGAAGGTTTTGATCTTGCCGCTGAACATCTGTGCCAGGGCTTTCTCGTGTGGTGTGCCCTTCATCTTCTCCTCCATGCGTTCCATCAATTTCCGCGAGAGCTCCTGGACGTCTTGCTGTTCAAAAATATGACGAGTCTCCCATCCAAAAGACTTGGTAAGCTCACTGGTAGCCACGGCAGTATTTGATGTTTGCAACTGATAAAAGAGTCGTTGTAGAGTATAGGCGCTGTTCATCATGCTCTCGTCTTGCTCGGTAGGAATTTGGTAGATAATCTGCAAGCCAGTCAGCATGCGGGCGGGAAACAGAGCAAAAAGGAACAAGATGTTGATCTCTTTACCTTGCGGAAAGCATTGGTGAAATAGAGCGACTGTAAGAGTGAGTTCAAATAGCAAGTGGCGCCCTGGTTTTTGAGACCGACGTAGCCTGTCTCCTGCTTCGAATCGTAGTTGTTGAAGTTGTGCCACAAAACTCCTGTTTCATCCTCGACAATCCTGACGTAGGCGCTAATGTTGACGCTTTCATTTTCGCCGAGAGGACGGCTTGAACCGTCATAAGGCTGACTGAACAGCCTCCGGAGTTCCAGAAACCGTGTAAAACCCCAATCGCTCTCTTCCTTGGTGAAACGGTGATGGGCGGAATGGTGGTGAAAGACGGAAGGGTCGTTAGGATTCCATAGCACGAGCGCAAACTGAACGCAGCAGCTCCATTTTTCGGGCATCTCGTCCGCTTCGAAGCCGTGTTCCAGGTATATCGAGCACTGGTCAACATTATTGCCATATGGGAAAAGAAGAATCCGCCTTTTGAACAATATTAGTATCCTTAGCAGACGTAAAGAAACCACCGAGGAATACTGACCATGGGAAGCCACCAGCATGGAAGATGGGACCATGCTCCTTCTTGTTTAGGTTGCGCCAACCCTTGATCTCCCACGTGTGAACCTGGTCCTCAAGGATTGGGGGTTCGTCGATTAGGGCTGGAAGGACGTGCTCTTTCATGGCTTTGTCTAAAACAGCGTCAGTTGCAGAGCCCCGAGGAGGAAGGAAGTTGTGTTGTTGTTGTTGTTTTTATCCAACTCACAGTCAGTGGCAAGGACAGGAGCCTCCTTCTCGTCAGCCTCCGGGGTGATGATTGCGACCTCGTCATTATCGACGCCGTTTGGTTCGACAATGTGTTCCTCGGGTGTATCGACCAACATGGCGTTGGGCGAGGGGGCTTGGGGGTTTTGGTCATCCTTGGTGCGGATAGGCAGATTAGCAACCCGGTCGTCAGATGGCGGGGATGGCGAGGGAGTCAGAAGAGCGCGGTTGGTGGGGTTGCCCATGTTGAACACCGAGAGGCAAGTAGAGGCAAACAACAGAGAGGAATGATATAACTAGACAGGCAACGGCTCGCGGGAGGATCGGGTGCATGGGAAAGGTAGATAGATGTTGAGCTCGACTTGCTTCCCGAGCTGTTGAGGAAGATGGAGGGGAAACAAAAGGTGCGCGCGGGTGACGGTAATGGTGCTTCTGGTGCAGCTGAGTGCATCAAAGACAGAGCACTCACCATAATGCCAGTGGGCTACAGCGAGTAGCTGCAGAGGTCAGAGTTGCAGGAAGTTGCGGATCGCGCCGGCGACAACGGGCGTACTGAAGGGACGACTGTCGACGCAACGTGGACTAAGCCTCGCTCCTTCCAAGCAGTGAGCTGCGTGGCCCGGTGTATGCTCCTTCCCGTCTCTTTCAAGGAAACCTGGTATGTGCTGCGACTTTTGGCAGGCGATGCGGAGTCTTCGGGGAGGTTTGGGTCGGGCGGAGGATACTCTCGAAAGAATGAATGACTGACTGACTAAGAGCGCAAGTCGTCAGCAGGCCGGAGAGGAGATCGGTCGTGGTGAGGAAAGCAAGTGGAAAGAGGATGGGAAGAGGAAATAAAGGTTGGCGATATGGAGCAGCGCAGGCAGGCGCAGGTAGATCCTAGGTGATGCTAGACTGTGGTGGACTGTAATGGTGAGTCTTGGCCTTGCGTTGGTGGATGCAGCCAGAGGTCATGCAGCGACGGGAGTGGCAGTGAGGAACAAGGTGAAGAAGGTGGAAGTGTAGTGATTGGAGGTCACGGTTTCTTTCTTTCTTGTCTTGTCGAAATGGGTTTCTTCGATAGGTTCCGTCGCCCGCCGCGGTTGCCCGGCCGCGCGCTCAGTTGTTGAATGGCAGCAAAGTATATGGAATGTTACTACCTACACGCAAGGTAACGGACATGTTGTTGACCTACAGACTTCTACAGTTCGTTTCTTCAGTCAGATGCAGTCCATGTACCTCTAGACATGGAGTTTAACATCCTGGCAAAACCGCGGTATCTGTGATCTCTTATAGAGCACTTCCTCTTAACAATCTACCAGGCACAATCGATATTTTGAATTCATAGTGCTGAATTCAAAAGGTATTGTGGCCAGACTCCTTCGGTCACAGCAACTCCCTCTGTTCGACATTCATTGGGATCACAGTATTGTGGCTGTTGGTCTGGGCTGGATCACCCCGCGCCCGCGTAGGCGAGTTTCTGTGATGTTAGTATCAGGTCAGGCTGCTTGTTAGCCAAGCCCTCACAACCTATCGCAAGCTGTGCTAAGCAGCCAGCTAATTTGTTAGTGCATAACATGCTCACTAGCCGCCGCTTCTAGCAAACTCGAAGCTCCCAAACTTGAATGACGTGAGAGATACCCAACCTGGTTCGTGGCCTGGATCTCTTCCTCCAGCTAACAGCTGCTGATGTGTTCAATGGGTACTCCATCAACACTTTTGACTGAGACCGGGCCAGAGGATATTCAGGTGTTATGGTGACAGGAGTATCGCGACCTACCCTCAGTCAAAGCACCGATCTGTTTGCATGCGCTTTCTCGACTAAACAAACCATTATTCGCCCGAATTTTGCGTTCTTATTTACACAGTACTTAGACGATTCATTAGTGACGTAAGTATTGCCGGTTGATTGTCCAGTACGAATCTGTTCTCAGTGTTTCAAGGTGGCCAAGAACACAACAACCTGAAGCTCTTCAGCTTCGCGCCAGAGCTGTGATAATAGACCTAACTGCCCATCTACCATATAATTCGGAGCTTAACATCTGGGCAACAACACTTCCATGTGTCTTGGGAATTTGAGGTCATCAGCACCTCCATTTCAGTTGACTGGATTCACCGGCTACCGTTTTTTTCACGTCCGTCGTTCGAATGACGTCCGATCAACTCAGTCGGCAAAGGCCGAGTGTGGGGTCGAGTGGGAGCAACTGTTCCCTTCGCATCCGTCATGCATGCAGTGCGAGGACGTCCATCCAGTACTTGGACATATTGAACGAGGTAACTGCCCTAACGACGGGAAAATCTGGCTTAACATACCCAAGTATTTTGACACAAATAGACGCCAATCTACCGTGGCTCCGTGGCTACTACATTACATGAGGTGTCACCGAGTGTTCGTAAACCAAAAGCATATGATATGATTTGGGCCACGGCAACCTAAAAAAGCTCCAAGCCCCTGACCCTCATCCCGCGCCCCCCTAACGTAAACACTAAACCAAGCTCGTGATAACCAGCGGGGCCCAGGCATTCTACACTAGTGGAGAGGTGCATCTGGCTCCGATTATCGCTCTCCAACCCTGACACAACACGACCTCTAGCCTGATAATCTTGCGACAACCCGACTCCAAGTTCCTTTTCCCTCTCTTCACCAAATTACTCTGTTTCGCATGGCACCGACGGTATGCCGTGCTTCTTGCTGCAAAATGCGAAAGCGCCCGTCCGGCTGATGTGCACGGCGGGAGACCTGGGCATGGTGGCGCGGAGAGAAACAAGCCGAGGACAGCTCCTCCTCAAGTGGGCGATGACTCGGAGCTGCACGAGCTCTACTTCAGTCGCAACTCCAAGACTATCAGCAACACCAAGGGCACGAACGATATCTCCAACCCCTCAGACTCGATGTACACATAGCCAGCACAGTCCGAAATGGCGCCCGGTGTCTGTTCTAGACGAGTATGCGGATTTCCTGTCCTTGCCTTGACATCACATGCACCAGGAGCCCACGCTTACAATGTGTTCTCTTCACTTACAGATGGGTCGCAAAGGAAGCTCGACCGATCAGTTTGCGCCAATTGATGGTCTTTGGCCGTTCCTTGACCGAGTCGAGGTTGATTAGCTCTGCCAACTATGTGCGAACAGAGCTTCCGACGAGGTAAGCTCCAGACGGACTCTCCAACATCGAGACTACCAGAGTTACAGCATCTGACTATGTATGCGACAACTCGGACAGAATTGCCCACCGCATCCGCGACATGCAACGGCTCCCCTACGTAGTAGTAACCAACCCACACATGAACGAAGTCTACGATCTCTACTACTCCGCTTTCGACACCTTCCGCAAGGTCCCCGAAATCAAAACGCTCGAAGACAACGACGCCCTATGCGCCACCATCCGCTCCAACCTCAAAGCGCACCTGACCGTGATCCCCAAGCTAGCCATGGGCATACTGGAGTCAGCCGGACTCATGGACGCCAAAGAGCTAGACAAGTTCATGAACACAATTCTCCGTTCTCGCATCTCGCGCCGCGTCATCGCCGAGCAGCACTTGGCTCTAACCGACACCTTCCACGCGCCTTGGTTCTCCCCCGGCGCCAAGCTTTCGGAATCCGAGTTCATCGGCGAAGTCTTTTTGAAGTGCGTCGCCAAGGATGTCGTCGAAAGATGCGGCCAGGCCATCCGCGACATTGCGCAGCACGCATACGGGCCCGACGTGGCGATCCCCGAGATCAAAATCGACGGACACCTGGAGGCCAATTTCCCTTATATCCTCAGCCATCTCGAGTACATCATCGGCGAGCTACTCCGTAATTCGGTGCAGGCCGTGGTGGAGAAACACCAGCGTTACAAGGAGAAGGTAGCGGCAGCGGGAGGGAAGATCGACGAGATTGGCCCGCCGCCTGCGATCGAGGTGACAATTTGCGAAAGCCAGCAACACGTCATCATTCGCATCTCGGACCAAGGTGGCGGCATTCAGCAGGACGTCCTGCCGTACTTGTGGTCCTTTAGCAAAGGGCCCGCGAGTCAGCAGCTGCTGACGAATCTGGAACAGGTGCCCAAGATGGCGGCGACGATGCAGGAGCTCAAGGTCGAGGGTACTACTTCTAGCGAAGCTGGGACAACGGTGGGCAAATTGCAACAACAGCGGCAGGAACAGCAACAGCAACAGCAACAAAAACAACAGATCAAAGGCATTCACAACGGGAACAACTTCCCCGGCGACCCGGGCTACTGCAATTCGTTGGCAACGCTGACAAGCCGCCCGCCGAACCTACGCCTGGGCATGGGGTTGCCTTTGAGCAGGGTGTACGCTGAGTACTGGGCTGGTAGCCTGGCGCTGCATAGTCTGGAAGGGTATGGGGTGGATGCGTTCTTGCAGATCTCGAAGCTGGGGAACAAGAATGAGCAGCTGACGACGCGGGCGACAATGGATGCCGTTTAGAGGATATCCAATGAAGTGCAAGTGAGATGGGTGGAATGGGAGGAGGAGGGAATTATACCCAGTAATCATTACTTGAATGGTTCGGTTCAGAAGAGCATAGGAAGGGCATCACAGTGACCTGGTGTAACGGATAGATTATTCACGCGTGTGCTAAGTCGGGCTTGGTGTACGGAGCAACCTCTTGTATTTTTCACGCAATATCGTTAACTGGGCATGATATGGAAATAGCAACTTACTTTAGTAGCACAAGCTGTGCTCAGCTCAGTGACCGTTGTCAACTCTCAATTTGAAGCACTACAGTCATAAAGTCAAGGCTTGTACTCAAAAGTGGTAGCCTTTCTCATTATTTGGTATCATTGAAAGGGGGGGTTGCTATCAGAATTACATCGTAGCTAAGACGGACAGAAAAAAAAAAAAAACTGGCGTGATGGGGTAAAGTTAAGTGTAAAGGGTGTGGTAAAATGTCAGTTGCCGCTCGAAATCTTCCAAATATCTGTAACTTTTTATCCCCATCTCCTGGGCCTCCCTGCGCGATTCGGGCTATGCAGAAAGGGTCTGTGGAAGATGAGGGAAACCCGGGCAAGTGTATAAAAACATGAGGAGCCTCCCCTTCTATAACAAGCCTCGATTGATGACCGCGCCATCCTACCAAACCGCAGCATATCCATGAACATCGTCTTTCAAGGTATGTAAGTCGCCCAGCTCGTCTTCACGTAAACATGTCGAAAAAAATCGAGGCGCAGGTACATTAATGCTCGATAGAACGGGAGACGGTGGTCACCCTTGTAGAGGATACCGCAAAAGTCGTGATAACCGCTTAGCGGCGACCGTGGCTGCGGACGGCATTTCCCTGCAGAGACTCGAGCTCCATCTCGAGGGACTTGATCTGGGCGTGGGTCTGTTCGAGGTCCTTGTTGAGACGGTCGCGCTCGGCAATGAGCTTTTGCTCCCACTGCCTGAAACGCTGCTCCTCGATCTTGACCTGTTCTGTGAAGCGCTTGCGGAGAGCCTCCTCCTCCTCCTTGAACTTGGGGTTGTCGAGCTTCCTTGGGCGAGCCTCGCCGAACTTGCGTGTCTCCATTTGCTGGGCGCGGTAAGCCTCGTAGTGCAGCTCCTCTGTTGTGTGGATAAGGTCCAGCATGTGGGTGCGGATAAGAATCGAACGGAGCTTCTTGAAGTCGCAATGTTCCTCGTTCTCGACCTCGGCCACACCCCACGAGTATTGACGGCCCTTGACAATACGTCCATCGCTGGTCTTAACATCCTTCTCGGAGCCGATAACGGCAAAGGGCATAGCGGCCATCAAGCTGCGTGCGTGTTGTGCGGCAGCCTCGTCATCCTCCTCAATAGGTGGCTGGTAGATCTTGATACCCTGAGCTTCGATGACGGCACGGATCTAGAAATCATGGTTAGCGATGATGGGTGGTATCTTCAAGGGAAAAACCTACCCTGGACTTGAACCTCGCCAGGTCGGCAGGGCTGAGAGTGTCGGCCTTGGCAATAACGGGAATGAGGTTGACGCGAGAGCAGAGTCTCTTCATGACCTCGATATCTAGGGGCTTAAGCGTGTGGCCGGTGGGGCGGATGAAGTACAAGCAGGCGTGGACACGGAGATCAATCTTGTCCTGACGGCGGGGTTGTTGCTCCTGGAGCATGTAGGACTCGTGCTGGTCGTCGAGGAATTCGATAATGGGCATCCACGAGTCGCGGTTGTTGACGTAGTCACCAAAGCCGGGGGTGTCGATAACAGTCAGGCGAACTATAAGCTGGTTAGACAGAGCTCTCTTACAAGACACCAAGGTCCCCCTGCGTAATCTGCTGCCGTACCCTTGAAGAACTTCTCCTCGAGCTCAGCCTTTGTGATTTCGATCTCGACGGTCTTGTCGACCTGCTTCTGGTGGCGCCTCTTGTGGTCGGCATAGTTCTTGATGGTCGTGGAGAACAACGTGTTGATGAAGGTGGTCTTGCCGAGGCCGGACTCGCCAGCAACCTATCCAACCACGCCGTCAGCATTGGTTTTACAAACACGAGGTTCAGCAAGCTTTGGACGGTGAAGCGCACCATAATAGTAAAAGCAGCGCCTCTCTTAGCAACAATCTTGTGTCGCTGGTTGGGCAGATTGGCAATGCCAATCGGTGAGGCGCTCTCAGTAGTGGCAGGGGCCATCTTCAGCTGGGCGAAACACGAAACTGGGAGATAATTATGGGTAGAGGATTAAGTCACGATCCCGTTGCTGTAACGGCGAGAAGAAGCACCGGCAATTGGAGAAAAAGAGCGTCGGGCGGGATGCGTGGTGTACGGGTATTGTGGTGGTCGTGAATGGGAATCGAAATTAGGTTGGTGTTGACAGTGGATGGGTGGGAGCGAGAGACAGACGGGGGATGGAACTGCAGTGGTGAGTGGACGGGGGACCCGTCGTGGAGCTCTGTGCTTTCGTTCAGGGGAATTTACCTGTTCAAATTTCCACACCACATTCATCTGGCCCAACCCAGCACCACACACCCACGCAGGAGAGAGCACCAGCGACGGGGACGGGAGCGCCAGGCCAAAGCCCACCCCAGGAAGCACTCCAGGCACTGCAGGGCCGCGGCAGCAGACGGAGCAAGCAGCGAGCAAGCAGCATTCGATTCCTCCAGATGAGGTGCCTGGGCGGGGGCACGGCAGCCGTCTGTGATGATGCCGAGAAGGCGCACGGTACACGATCCATATAATCCAATGGCACCTTTCGAGCCCGGCATTCTGCAGTAGTGTAGAGCTGCCACCACACAAGGCCGCTCTTGACTGGCTGCGCGGCTGGGAAATGAGTGGACCCTCCCCTTTTCCACTTGCTTCCCACACTTCCCCAATTCCAGGTCCCCAGAGACGGACGCTGGCAGCTCTCCACTGAAACGCGCTTGCCAGGTACCCTCGCCGAGCATTTAATCGATGCGTGCCTTCCCTGCTAGCGCCATTGGCGGTGATCAGCCATTCATTGCCATGGAAACTTCAGTTGGTCGACCCTTTGACCCTTTGATTGCCAGCTCTGCCAGCCTTGCACTGTGCTGACCGTGCTTGGTCTCGCTGCGCCGGTCGGTGAGGCTGCCAGACATGCCAAGCCTTTTGCCAGCTGGTGCCGAAGCGAGGAGCTAACCCGACTCCATTCCCCGCCAAAAAGTTTATGAAATTTTTGGCTGGCAGAATCGCCATTGAACGTACGGGCGGTCTAGGCGCAACAGCAGCAGCCTGTAACTGAACTTCTGTTCCACTTATACAGACTCGAAAGAGTCCTCCAGTTCCTGTACATAATCGAATCCCCAGATACTATCCCAGTTCTGCCCCATCTTCAACATTGACAGTCGAGGCATGGAATAGTGTTTGAAAATGAAGACCGACTTCAAGTTTTCTAATCTACTGGGCACAGTCTACTGCCAGGGCAACCTCTTGTTCAGCCCGGACGGTACCCATCTCTTCTCGCCCGTTGGCAACAGGGTGACAGTCTTTAACCTTGTCGAGTACGTCTCAAGATTCCCTACACCTGCCTGGTGCATAGCTTGTAAGCTGGCTAACACGGTCGCAGTAACAAATCATATACCCTTCCCTTCTCCCACCGAAAGAACATTGCGCGTATCGGTCTCACGCCCCAGGGCAACCTCCTACTCTCCATAGACGAAGATGGCCAAGCGATTCTCACCAACGTGCCCCGGCGCGTAGTACTATATCACTTCTCCTTCAAGGCTCCAGTAACCGCTCTCTCCTTTTCGCCATCGGGGCGCCACTTCATTGTTGGACTCGGCAGGAAAATCGAGGTTTGGCACGTTCCCTCAACACCCGACGCCAACGCCGACGGCGAGCTCGAATTTGCGCCCTTCGTCAAGCACCATACCCACGTCCAACACTTTGACGATGTCCGTCACATCGAGTGGTCCCACGACTCGCGATTCTTCCTCACATCTTCCAAGGATCTCACAGCAAGGATATGGAGTGTTGATCAAGAGGAGGGGTTCACACCTACGGTTCTGGCCGGTCACAGGCAGGGTGTCGTGGGCGCGTGGTTTTCCAAGGATCAAGAGACGATATACACAGTCAGCAAGGACGGCGCCGTTTTCGACTGGCAATACGTTGCGAAGCTTGGACAGGACGAGGATATGGTGGACGATGATGACCTGGCGTGGAGGATAGTCAACAAGCACTATTTCATGCAGAACAGCGCCACCGTACGATGCGCCGCTTTCCATCCCGAATCGAACTTGCTGGTTGCCGGTTTCTCGAACGGTATCTTTGGCCTCTACGAAATGCCCGACTTCAACATGATCCACACTCTCAGCATCTCCCAGAACGAAATCGACTTTGTGACGATCAACAAGAGCGGCGAGTGGCTGGCGTTTGGCGCATCCAAGCTTGGTCAGCTTTTGGTGTGGGAGTGGCAGTCCGAGTCGTACATTCTCAAGCAGCAGGGCCATTTCGACTCGATGAACTCCCTCGTTTACTCTCCGGACGGTCAGCGGATTGTCACAGTCGCCGATGATGGAAAGATCAAGGTGTGGGATACGGAATCGGGATTTTGCATTGTCACCTTCACAGAGCACACTAGCGGTATCACTGCTTGCGAGTTCTCCAAAAAGGGCAATGTCCTGTTTACCTCGAGTTTGGACGGTTCTATCAGGGCTTGGGACTTGATCAGGTACAGAAACTTCAGGACCTTTACAGCACCAGAGAGGCTATCGTTCTCTTGCATGGCTGTTGATCCTAGTGGCGAAATCGTGGCGGCTGGCTCCGTTGACTCTTTCGACATTCATATTTGGTCTGTCCAGACTGGCCAGCTCCTAGATCGTCTGTCGGGACACGAGGGCCCTGTGTCATCCTTGGCCTTCGCGCCTAACGGCGGTCTTCTTGTGAGTGGTAGTTGGGACCGCACTGCCCGTATCTGGTCCATTTTCAACCGCACACAAACAAGCGAGCCTCTCCAGCTCAATTCGGATGTTCTCGACATTGCCTTTAGGCCAGACTCTCTCCAGATTGCCATCTCCACTCTCGACGGCAACCTGTCGTTCTGGTCGGTCTCGGAAGCTGAGCAGCAAGCTGGTCTTGATGGGCGCAGGGATGTCTCCGGCGGTCGCAAGATCGGTGATCGCAGGACTGCGGCCAATGTTGCCGGTACCAAGGCTTTCAACACCATCAGATACAGCACAGACGGATCGTGCCTTTTGGCCGGCGGAAACAGCAAGTATATCTGCTTGTACTCCGTCACCACCATGGTTCTCCTGAAGAAGTACACCGTGAGCGTCAATCTTTCAATCCAAGGCACTCAGGAGTTCCTCAACAGCAAGCTTCTTACCGAGGCTGGACCCCAGGGTCTCCTGGACGAGCAAGGCGAGGCCTCCGATTTCGAGGACAGGATAGACAGGTCACTCCCAGGCTCCAAGCGCGGCGACCCCTCCGCACGGAGGAAGAACCCCGAAGTGAGAGTAAACGGCGTTGCCTTCTCCCCGAACGGAAGTGCCTTCTGCGCCGCCTCCACAGAAGGTCTTTTGATCTACAGCCTGGACACCACCATCCAGTTCGATCCCTTTGACCTCAACATGGAGATCACCCCCACCTCTACCCTGGCCGTGCTCGAGAAGGAGAAGGACTACCTCAAGGCTCTCGTCATGGCTTTCCGCTTGAACGAGGCCGGTCTGATCCAGCGTGTCTTCCAGGCCATCCCTTACACCGACATCCCTCTGGTGGTCGAGCAGTTCCCCAACGTGTACGTTGCCAGGCTGCTGCGGTACGTTGCTGCGCAAACCGAGCAGAGCCCACACGTTGAATTTTGTCTTCTTTGGATCAAGGCTCTGGTTGACAAGCACGGCGCGTGGTTATCTGCCAACCGCGGCAAGGTCGATGTTGAGCTTCGTGTTGTCGCAAGGGCTGTTTCCAAGATGAGGGATGAGATCAGGAAGTTGGCCGATGAAAACGTCTACATGGTTGACTACCTCCTCGGTCAGGCGAGCGCTGCTAAGGAGACTAATACCACCAAGACCTTGGCGCTTGAGTGGGCTACCACCGACTCGGATGAGCAGCCGGGCGCTGGTGGTATGAGCTTGAACGATGTCATGCAGCAGGATGAGGGGAACGCCAGCGAAGACGAGTGGATCGGTTTGGAATAGGTCCTAGGATTTAGAGTACTATAGGATTTTTGTAACGGTAAGGAAGGGTACCACACATAGGATAGGCGCTGATACGGAAAATGTTTGTCAACCGGCATTCTAGTTTATAACTTGTACAGATGATTTTGATACCAATTCATGGCAATAGAGAAAAAAGGGGATTTGGGATACAACTACAACGCCATGCGAAACTGTGTGAAAGCAATGCTATACCCCCCTAGTCCAACATTTGTGGATTGCTGGGTGCCTTTTATTCGACATTCGGAACATCCTCCCATGCCTCATCGAACCCACAGCTACGCACCCAGTTTGGCCCTGGTGCGAGGACCGAGTCGACAATCAGGTGATAGACCTTGTTCCAGTAATCGTCATCTCTTGTTTGATAATAGAGCTGGCAAATCCGTGCAGCTCGGGCAAGCTTGATGCTGTGGCCATCGTCCTCAAAGAAATGGAGGTTGGAAATGATTTCTTGGAAATCATCAATAAGTAGCGGTTCAAGGCCGAGAGAAGCGAGGTAATCATCAACTCACCTTCAGGAGCCCCAGATGCCTCCTTCTCCTTAGGCTGATAAGAAGTAATAGCATCAAGCGACAACTCCGGCGCTCCACGCGCCGCATACTGAACCAGATCCATCCTGATCTTCCACTCGAGAAGACGGACCTTGGTGTCGAGTGATATCCAATCCTGTGCGTTGACTGTCGTGAAAAACGGTGCTGAGGTGACATGGTGCCTGTAGAAAGTCGTCCGTCAGTCAGTATCAATCTTCCCGTCCAACTCCTTGCCTACCCCTTCCTGAATTCAAGGGGGGCAGCGGTACGTGACCAGACCAGACGAAGAAACTCACATCAAGAAGAAATCAAACCTCGGCAACTTCGTATCCCTCTTCACCAACGCCGCCGCACCCGCCATAAACACGGCGGAATCATACATCTCCGCCGTCCTCTCCTGCAACTCTTCCTTTCCCACCTTCACCTTGGCCGCCAACTGGATCGCCTCCTCTCTGGCCCTCTTCAACACTCCATCCCTAACTTTATTCGCATCACTCATCCTCGCCGCCTTCGCCAGCTTTTCGTTCCCTCTCACTCCCTTTTCCAACAAGTCCTCCACAACCCTCCCCATACCCATATCCTCCTCCAGTTTGCTAGCTTTTGCGGCCTCTTCGGCTCCCAGGAGATACCCCCCAATCTCATCCCCATGCACAGCCGCCTGCGCCAACCCCTCCGCCACAATCGCCGGCTGTCTCCATTCCAGGCCGTACATAAGCTGGATCAGCGGATGCAAGAACCCGCTGTACAGCCTCACCAACAAATTATCCGCCTCGGGCGTGCCCGAGAACAAATACTCATTCACCACTTCCTCATACTTTCCCCCGCGGGAATCCATCTCCCGCTTGAAAAAGGCCAGGAAATCAGGGTAGTGCTCCTCTTTCCCCAGGTACTTGCCTGCGTCGTCCCGCCAGTTCTGGATCAAGTCGGACACGACTTCCTGGTGTTCTGGCAACGCAGGGCGTTGATAGGAAGCGTTAACGTCGTAGGCTTTCTGCAGCGCTTCAGAGGGGGCAGAGGTCCCGTACAGTGCGAGGAGGTGGTGAGGGATGTGGTTGTGGAAGCCGTCTTTGTTGAAAAAGACGTGATGGTGGTGCATGTCGGCTTGGAGGAGGTCGGAGAGGAGCGTGGAAGCGGTGGGGGATTGAGGGTGGATGGTGGGGGACTTGGACCAGAGGCCGATGTTGGAGGGGGTGATGTTGATGCGGTGGGGGGTTGCTTCGGACATCTTGATGGTAGTGAGGTGAAGACGTCGAGTGGTGGTGATGGTCCTTGGTGGTTTGGGAGAGGTGATGGCCTGGCGAAGGAGAAATGTCTTCGTGCCGGCGGGAGTGAAAGGTCGCATTCACGTTGATTTGTGCAGAAACGACGGGCCGTGGGCTAAGGGAGTTAGAAGACCAAAGAGAGGTTCCTGGAGTAAATATAGTCGAATTATATACGTTATAGATCAGGTGGTTGTCGGAAAAGAGGTTGATTATAGAAGCCAAGAGTAATGGTGTGTTGTTCACTTGATGGAGTATCACGAAGCCCGGTTGCTGTGGTGTTCGCACGTCGAGGTATTCCAAAGTCCGAATGCCGCTTATCTCCGCACTCGAAAGCCAACTCTTAGGTAACTGTTTTCCGTCCTACGCAAGTGCGTAGTAGGCCTATGCTACTCTTACAAATCGAATTGAACTCTGACTGAATGCGTTGTTGGGATGAAGCACAGTCTAATGCTGGTTTGTTTGTTAGCTTGGTACACCTACTATTACACTAGACGAAATCTATCCCGTATTGCCCCAAACATCAACGAATGACAAAGGCAGTGACAAGATTGAACATGATGTATTAGTGAAAATCATGGTGTGTTCAAGGTAAGATCACGACTTAATCATGGAACGGAACGATTTACGGGAGTATATAAACGCCTACGGGAGTTGATTCGAGGTCTTGAGCTAACAAACAAATCGGCACTGAAGTGTAAAGTGGTATTAGGCGAGTGTAGTAAGACGGCTACGTCATTGACCCCCTTTCAGTCGTCCACACACATCAACTACCTCTACCAAAAACATTTGTGACCACCGGCCTTATCCGCACCCTACACTTTTAGGTCAGCTCGTCGGATTCTCTAAGGCCCTGATCGGCATCCTGCACACCCACCTCGTGCAGAAATATTTCGGTACATTTCGATACGCTGGCGCCCAGTACGCTAGTGATTGTACCGATTTTAACGTAGTAACCGTACTAGAGCCGTACTAGGATGACCGTATTAGTGCTTGATTAACCGGATTTGTCGTTATTAACCGTATTGAGCGTAGCCCGTGCCTAGAAATTTATACCGCTTTTAGAGAGAGGGGTCGACCTTGTTGTGCTTTGTAATGTTGTGTAGAAAGTAAATAATATTAGTAATTGACTAAACGGCGAGATAGCTTCCTAAGACGACCTCCTAGAGCCCTCTAATACTATAGAGGGTATTGATTTATCCTAGCTCTATATCTAACCCCCAACACTGGGTTTATGATAGCCCAGATTAGCTGGGCTGATAGAGGTTTCCTTACTGTACCGTGCCGTACCCAGTCTGGGCATTCAGACTGTAGTACCCGGGCTACCCCGTAGCCTGTACTCTGGCTCGCTACACAGTATATCTACTGCGTACAGACGGCTAGCTGGAAGCCTTCCTCCTTCTTACAAGATAATATAGGGATGGATAATATAGTTAGTCACACAGTAAGGACCATTGCTTCCAGATACTACGTTGGCTAGAGGCGATTTGTAGTATAGAAGGTAAAAGAGAAGATATTATAAGAAGGAGGAAGGCTTCCAGCTAGCCGTTTATATATAGTAAATATATAGTATAGTAAGCTAGAGTACAGTCTATAGAGTAGCCCGGGCACGGCAATTTAAATACCCAAACTGGGCACGGTATAGTAAGGAAGCCTCCAGCAGCCTAGCTAATCTAGGCTGTTACAGCTAGTCTAAGCTATAATACAGTATAGATATAGAAATCTAGGAATTTCCCTATTACAAGACTTTCCTTTCTTTATTTTATTTTACTATATAAAATAAAAATCCCCTATATTAAATAGTAGCTACAACTCTACGGTAGTAACTATTGCGAATAATATACTCCTCGTACCCCTATTCTAAAATAGATTCACTTAATTATCTAAATCGCAAAGCCTAGCCCAATCCGACTAAATGATCTTTTATTATAGATAGTAACGTCGATCCCATAGTTACTACTACCCTCTCTATTAAGCTCGCTTCGATTATTTAAATCGCTAGGATTATTTAAATCGCGAGCGCACTAATCTAATTGAACGACCTCCCGTTTATATAGAACGTTAGTTCTACAATTACCACTAAGTAGTCCTCTTTATTAAATATACTACGCGTTACCGATGACAACCTTATTTATTTTTATTCGTTTACAAAAATAGCAAAGCAAATAATAGTTAACCGTTACTACTATTTATAATAACAACTCCTCTTTACTTTTACTCGTCGTAATAATAGCAAAGTAAATAATAACTATTATTACTAATTATTACTCTCATTAAAATTTCCTTACTACCTTTTACTCGTTGTAATAATAGTATTGTAGATTGTAGATTTCTCCTCTCTATGCTAAAGCGAATCTCCTAGCGCACCGACCGACCGCGAGCCAAACTCCCTAAGATAATAAATTTCTTAACCGCTCTTTGGTTAAATTAAACTCCCTCTTATTATTAAGATAATAAGCTTCTCGACCGCTCTCATTGAATTAAGCTTCCTTTTATTAAATTAAGCAAGCTTCCTCCGCTAAGCTTACTATATATTACGACTCTTCTTAATTTACCCTCATTTGTAATAATAATACGGGCGTTGTAATAAATTATAAAATCTATACTATTAAGCGCTTCCTTTCAAAAACCAAGCAAACTTACCACTTTTAAACCCACTACTTAAGAGCCTACTAAACTGGCTACTCCTTACTTGAAGAGCTTAAATTTATAGTCTTTTATTATTACCTATAATAATATCCTAATTAACTAGATAGTAATTTATTAGACTACTCTAATAATAGCTAGCTAATTAAACTACTAGAACGTTCTAATTAATTAATTAGACTACTAACTAATATCTATAACTACGATTCCTTCTTATACCCCGAGTATTGCCGATCTATATAGCCTATTTTCCTTACTTGAGATTCGGCTTTTCTTAGGTCCCGGAAGTCTCCGTAGCTCTTACTTACCTTACAACGAAGTTATTACTCCCTTCTTTCGTATACGAGCAGCCAAGTAGTTCTCTTAGTAATTAAGCGATTTTTAATAATAATACTAGTATTACTAATTAATATAGCTATTACCCCCTTCGCTAATTCTATTACTAATTTTAATAACCGTATCAACCTCTCTATTAGTTCTTTATAGCTTATACTAGCTCTAATAGCCATATCAACTTCCTTACTAGTTTCCTACAATTAGTATTAGTTAGAAAGCTCCTATTTATACCCCTTTTTCTCTTTCTTTCTATTTATTTATAGAACTAGCGTTCTCTATAGTTATAATTCTTTTAAATACCTCTCTCTCTCTCTTTCTCTTAAGTACAAGAGACTACTAATTACCTTTTCAAATACTAATTACCCTCTCGAATACCAATTACCTTCTTAAGTACCAATCACCTTCTTAAGTGCTAGTTACCCTCTCGAGTACTAGTCACCTTCTTGAATACTAACTACCCTCTCAAACTTCAACCCCCTAGTCTACCTGCCGGTTAATTAACTAGCTATCCCTAGCCGCTATCCGGCTTCCTAGAACTTATTAGAGCTCCCGGACCTCGACCGCTTTTACTATTATAATACTAGTACATTCCAATACGCCCCGGCGCCGCCCGGACGGACAAATAGATCGGAGGAGACCTAAGCATTGTCGGAAGAGGCCTAGAATATATTGGAGAAGACCTAGACGCTTAGGCCTATTGAAGACAATAGTTTCTTTCTCATATAAGCCGGTATTTAATAAGGAAATTCCTAAATTTCTATATCTATACTATATTATAGTTTAGACTAGCTATAACAGTCCAAATTAGCTAAGCTAATAGAAGCTTCCTTGCTATACTATACCGTGCCCAGTCTAGGTATCCAAACTATAGTACCCGGGCCACCCCGTAGCCCGTACTCTAGCTCGCTACATAGTATATTTACTACGTACAAACGGCTAGCTAGAAGCCTTCCTCCTTCTTATAAGACTTCCCTTTCTTTATTTTATTTTACTATATAAAATAAAGATCCTCTATATTAATTAGTTTAATAATATATATTAGAAGGATCATAGTAATGTGTAGAATTACCTTATCCGTATATATAAAGAGACGTAGCTGGAGTATTATTAGGATTTAATTTATATAAAGAGTAAATAGAATATTAAAAAGAGGTAGTATATAGTATAGTAGATTTTCTTTATTAAATATTTTAATATTAGTATTAACCCTAATATTTAATTACCTATCATCTCTAATGAGTATTAGAATAATTTCGTTAAGTGCTATAGTACTAGAATATATAGTATTAATTAGGTTCGCTACTAGCCTTTTAATAACGTTAAGGTATATTGTATAGTATTTTTTTAAGTCGAAGGGTATTGGGCTTAATATTACTAAACTAAGTAAGATATAGTAAAGAGAGGGGTTTAGAGCCGGAGTTAGTTATAAAGTCGAGGATGAATTAAATAGTAATTTACTAGACAAGGTCGAAGTAGGGGGTAAGGTGAAGTAAGAAGATGAAGATAATAGTAGTAATAATAGTAGTAATAAATTTAAGAGTAAAGAGGAGGAGGATAATAATAAGAACGATAGCAGTAATAAATTTAAATTTTTTATAACATTGAAATAAATCGTAGTATTATAGGTAGTGAGAGTAGTTAGTATAAGTTAACTTACTGCGAGTTAGAGGATAATAGAAGTATAATAGTACTACTATTACGGGTAAAAGGTAGATAGTAAATGTAATTATACGTAATTGTACGAAGGAAAAAGGAAGAGAAGTATATAGCCGAGTACCTAGAAGACTAGCCTTATAAGGGTAACTACTAGCGGGTTTACAGACCCGCAATAGGTAGCTCTCTAACTAATTAACTACTAGTAATATAATACCGGCAGCGACGATAGTGATAATAGTCTCAAAAGCTACTATACGCTAGTATAAAGTATATAGGCTAACCCTATAATACTTCCCCGGACTAAAAGAAGCTATATAATTAACTATTATTATATAAAATAATAGAAATCCCTATTAAACGAACGGTCCGCTCTTAAAAAACCTTTACTATTATCGCTAGTAAGTATTATTATAACCTCTATTATAGAATTAGAACCTCCCGCTCTACCTCCTTCTCCCTTTGCCTCTTCTCCGCCGCTGCCTAATCTAAAGAGTATGGTGCTTCGAAGTAACTATTGTAGAAAGCCCGGACTATATCGGGGGCTATAAATATATCGGTCTATAATTATTATAATAATATATATAGGAGTATTTAAATTATAAAGTACTTTTAATAACCCTTATTATTCTTCTAATAGTTATTAATTTTTTCAAATTCGTATTCGATAAAATCCCCCCCTATTATTAATCCTCTTTATAATTTAATTATAATTAATACGAATATCCTATTCCTCTATAACTATTTATTTTAAGAGACCTTCCTCGTCCTATAGTTTAACTTTATTAATATAAAACGTTAAACTATACTTTATATTAATTAGGAGTTTAAATATTATTTAATAGTTATCCGCTTTAAAGATTTTAAAAGGGCTTTTAAAGAAGGGTATAAATTTAGCGTAGGGCTAGCTAGTATTAAAATTCTTAATATTAAGAGGAATCTTTTCTCCCTCCTTATATTTTAGTATATCTAACCGATAGGCGTTCGTATTATCTTTGTAATATTATTATACTTACCGGGCTTAATTTATAACGAAGTTTCAAATTTATTTGAATTAATTAATTAATTTATTAGCTTTAAAATATTCTATTTATTATACTACTAATATTTTTAATAAATATAAGTTCGCCGGTTTAATACCTATATAGGAGTAAAAACTGTAATTAGTAAGGAAGGGAGAGATACTAATAATTTTAAAAATTAAATTATTATTAGCAAACTCTATAATTAATAATTAATCTACCCAATCGTCCTAAATCTAATTAATATAAAAGCGAAGATACTTTTCTATCTCCGTATTAATATATTCAATTTAGCTGTTAATAGTAGAGTGAAAAGCGGAGGAGGGTTTAAGGGTAACTTCCAACTATAATAATAAAACCCTCTACAATTATAAAATAAATTAAGTATTATAATTAAAAATAATAGAATTTAATAAATTATAAATATTATAAACTTTTTCGATAAAGCGCTCTGCTAATTCTTCTATTATTAGACCGATGGTAGGGATATAGTATTTTATTTTCGTAAAGTAATTAATAATAATAATAATATATTTAAATTCCTGCCCGCGGCGTAAATAGGGTGTAAGTAGAGTAATATAATCGATTGAAATATCCTTCTATAGTATAAATAATATTATTAGCAGTTTTAAAAAAATTATAGGGGGCGTATTATAACAGCTTTAATTTAATATATATTAAATAAGCCTTATAGTATAATTTTATAATAATATATATTCTTAATTAAAAGAAAAACTATAATAGTAACGAATAAGTTTTTTCGTAGCCCGGGTACCTAGTAAATAACGAATTATAAATATAGCGGAGGAATAAGAAGTAAAGTTCTATATTAGTAGGGTTAATAAAAACGGTGCTATAAAAGTATATTCGTCTTTAAATTATTTAATATTTAATAAAAAGGATTCTCTTTATATAATCTTTAACTTTTTTAAACTATACTCGATAGTTAGGGTCCGATAAATAAATAATAATACTTTAGAGAATTATTAACTTTTTATAGCTGTCTACTATTAAATTATTTATTAATTTCTCATTCAAAATTTCTAATTTATAAATATATTTAATAACAATAGGGACTTCCTCCTTACTTCTATTTTTTAAAATAAAAGCCTTATTAATAAAAATATTTTAATTGAATAAAATTTTATTTTTAAATAATAACCGCTCGTTAGTTTCGTTTTTAAATAAGTCTTTTAACTTCCTACTTAATACGTTAGAGCGTACTTACAAGGATCTATAGTAGTATTTAATTATAAAATTAAAATAGGAAAGAAATTAGGACTATTATATATAATAGGAGGTAAATTACTTATTAATTATAAAAGTCTTTAAATTTTTATAGTTAGTAAAAATTTCGAAGAGTTCTTAGGCTCCTTCCAATTCGGAATACTACTTTTTAAGGGCTTTAATAATAATTAACAATTCTTTATTATAAATATTATAATTATATTCTACTAAGGAATACTATTAATTAAAGTAAGTAACCGGGTGTAAAATACCCTCCTTATTATATTAGGATAGAGTATTACCGTACGCCCAATTCGAGGCATCCGTTTTGATAATAGTTTATTTAAATTAATTATAAATCCAAAGTATTAAATTACTATTACAAGCTTTCTTAAGAGCTTTAAATAATTTTTAATAGTAGTTGGTCTACTATTATCCTACTAACTTCTTTATTAATTCGTATAACGGACTAATAATAATTGAAAAATATTTAATAAATTATCGATAGAAATTAGTAAAACCTAAAAAATATTATAGTACCCTTTTAATTTCTAGAGCCTCCTAAGTCTTAATAGCGGATACCTTATTAGGGTCTATCTCGAGTCCTCCTAGGGTAATAATTAAATTAAAATATTTTATTCTTATAATATAGAATTCGTATTTATTAATATCGATTTATAGCTTTACTCGAATTATCCGTTATAAAACCTTCTTAATATAATTTTTGTAGTCTTTTTTATTATTTGAATAAATTAGAATATTATTGAAATATATTATCGCGTATATATTAATAATATTATATAGAATATTATTAATATAATTCTAGAAAGTCCCTAGGGCGCCTTAAAAGCTGAACGGGCAAATAATAGATTTATAGAGATTGAAACGGATAATAAAAGCAATAAGCTATTAATATTCTTCCTTTACGCAAATTCTATTAAATATAGTAATTACATTGAATTTAATAAAAGTCTTTATATAATAAATAATATTAAGAGTCTCTTTAATTAACGGTAGTAAATAATATATTTTTAGTATTATATTATTAATATTATAATAGTTAATATAAATACGGACGCTACCGCCGGGCTTTCTTATTAAAAGGATAGGGGATACGGCTATAGACTATAATAAATAAATAAAATTCTTTCCTAAATTCTCGTTAATCTACTTTTTAATAATAACGGCTTCGATTAGGGATATACGGCGTAATTACGTATTAGGAGGGGTCGCTCCCAATTAGAATTTAATCCTATAATTATATAAACGGTTAGAAGGAACTTCTTCAACTAATAATAGGAGGAAGGCTACTACTTTATTGATATATTATTATTCCTCTAATTCTTTTAAAATAGTAATAATCTCGTCCTTAATCTTAATTAAACGGTCGGCCTTATTAAGAAACTTCTTTATATTTTCATTAAAAATCTTAACTACGTATATATACCGGATTATTTTCTTATAAAGTAGAATATCTTTATCAAAATTTCTAATAAAATAAATTATTTTAACGAAAATTATAATTTCCTAAAATTCCTTTAATAAGTAAGTATTAACCAAATTATTAATAAACTTATAGAAGAGTAGGGGGAAACTTTCCTTATATTATTAACTATTACCCTCTAAAATACTAATAATTATTTCTTTAATTAAATTTATATCCCAAACTTCCGTTATAATAATTAATCTCTTAATTTCGGTATAGTTTATAATATACGGCTATAATCGCTAGAATTCGCAAACGAAGTTAAAAATCGCTATATTAAATTCTCTAATATTACTAATTTTAATAGAAGAAGCGCCGTCGAAATTACAATAATAATAAGCTTAAGAGCGCTTTATACCCATAAAAACGCGCTAGCCGTTAAAGCGGACGTAAAGGTTATAGGGCGCTAAGTTTTTAATCCTAATAAGAAGCGTAATTATATTTATAATACTAACTTTAGATTTAACTTTATTAATTATTAATATTTCAATAGGAATAGAAATAGGTTAATAACTAGCTTCGAAAATTCCTAATATAAAAATCGGTAGTACTAATATTATTTAAATAAAGCGAATAATTCTACTACCTAATATTAGTTCTAATAGTACTAAAATTACTTTAGTAGAGGGAATTATTTTATTTTCTAAGGGTAAATAAGGAGTTAAGGTTAGTCGGGGAGTTAAGGCTAAATGGGGAGTTAAAGTTAGTCGGGGAATTAGGGCAATTCTACTAATAAATAACTATGACCGAAATGCGGTTAGTAAAAACTCTTAGGGCTACTAATTAATCTCTAGAGAAATCGATAGGTAAATAACGGCCCTTATAAGTAAAATTGGTAAAATATATTCTATAATAGTTATACTTAATTTTAGGTTTATAATATTATATTTATAAAAAGTTTAAAATAATTAGGTAATTCTTAAAAATATTATAAATTAAAAAAGTAATTAATTTATTATAGTATCCAATATAGAATTTAATTATTATTCCTTCGGAAATAATACTTTTAATTATTCTATTAGCTAGAATAAACTTTTTTACTTAGCGGAGGCGGAAATAGGGAAGGTTATATTTAATAATAAAAGAGTAAATAATAAAAGTAAACGCAAAATAGTTAGTATTAATAAAAGAAATATAATAATTTTTATATAATCTAATTACAATGTAGGAAAATAAAAGTATTAAATTTAAAGAAGTAGAACTATTTAATAATTATATCCTAACCTCCTCTAAACCCTCTAACTCTAGGGAATTTAAAATTCGTTTTTATAATAATAATAAGAAGAGCTTCTATATACGACTAAATATAAAAACTAAACATTTTCTAGCTTATTATAATACTTACTATTAATAGTAGCGGTAGTAGGGGCTATAATAAGAATAACGGTAATAGTAGTAGGTATTACTTCGGTAGTATAGATTTCCTACCTATTATAGCGACCTCTACTTCTACCCTTACCCTTATTCTTCTTACCCTTATTATATTAAAAGCCTTAAGCGCTATAATTAATAGAAGTAAAATAATTATAAATAATATAATTATTATTTTTATAATAGTAATATTTACCGTTATAAGTATATTAATTAAGAATATTTTTATAAGTAAAAATAGTAAAATTAATAATATTAAAATCTGTTTTATTATTATTTTAATTAATTAAAACGTTATTAATATTATAAGAATTAGAGGCGTTACCCGTACTAATATTAGTACTACCGGAATTTCTACTAACAGGGGCGCTATGATTAAAAATATAAATATTTATTTTATAATAATAGTTAGTATCCTTTAAATTATTAGTAATAATATAATAAGTTACTAATTACTTCTTAAAATCGTTAGTTTTAAGAAGGTTACAATACGTAAGAGCATTATAGAGGCGTTTATTAATTTTATTATATAAATAATAAATCTTTATAGAATTATTTAAATTATAGAAGTTTATAAAGTTAATAAACTCTAATTTAAATTCTATAAAAAATATATTCTTTATAAAAAACTCTTTAAAATAATAGTCGGTATCTATCTTCAAATTAATATTTTAAAAACGAATAACTATATACTCTATAAATTCAATATTAGTCTTTTAACGCTAAGAATTTATATCTCTTCTATTCTAAATAATAATCAAATTATTTTAAATACTAAACAAAGTTTTAAAACCTAATAATATAGTAGTATAAATAATTTTAATATCCTTATTAATATAAAAAAGGGGGTCGTACTTCTATTAAAATAAAATATAAAAATATTAAATTTTAAAAATCTTACATCTATAGATAGTACTAATATTCTCCTTACTAGTAAAAATTAGTAGATTCTTTACAATCTACCTCAAAAACGATATTTGACTAATACTAATTATTTTAATATAATTATTAAATAAAAACCGAAGATTAGTACTATAAAACTTAAGGGTGGCGTAATTTATATTAAAGTTATTATATTTCTTCTAAAGGTCGCTAAATTCGGCCTTTAAATTAAAATAATTGAAGTTCTTCTAATTGAAATTATTTTAGGCTTTAATAATTACCTTACAAACAATTTTCAATTTATTCTTACTATATTTAAAATTAATAGTAATATTCTTATATTAAATAAGGTCGTTATAATAAAAATAATCGAATAGGGTAATAATTGAACGGAAGGCGGAGTTTTAAATAAGAATATTAATTATATTAAGGTAAGCGTAAGGGACAATTTTCTTCTCCTTATCGTTATTAATACCGATAAAAAGATTATTAATTATTAGCGAAGGGAGAAATTCAATAAACGTAATTTAATAAATAGTAACGTTAGTAATACTAACAACCTCGTTAAATACCTTATAAATATTATTCAAATTAAATAGTATACTTTTAAAAGGGGTACCAAAATTAATAAAATCACCGGTACTACTAATAGGAGAGAAGGACGTATAATCGCTACTTTTAATATAAAATATAAGAAAAATAATTATATAAAATAGTTTTTTATTCCTTAAATAAAGAATGCCTATCCTTATTTACTAAATAAAGGGAGTAAGATTGTAATTATTGTAATTACGACTATCGATATTTAGAATATTAAATTCAGTAATTTAACGGGCGAGGCGATTCCTATACATATATTAATTGAAAATTAATTATATAATAAAAAGAAAATAGGTTTATATTATAAACGTAATAATTGAAAGGTATAATTAATTATTATAAGTAAAGGGTAGATAATAAATATAGTTATATATAATTATATAAAAGAAAAAGGAAGAGAAGTATATAGCCGAATACCTAAAAGACTAGCCTTATAAGAGTAACTACTAGCGGGTCTGCGGACCCGCAGCAGGCAGCGCTCTAACTAATCAGTTACCGGCAATATAGTACTAGTAGCAATAATAGTAATAGTAGTTTTAGAAGCTACTATACGCTAGTATAAGGCACATAGGCTAACCCTATAACAACTACTTGAATATTAATCCAAATAAGATTCCCGCTAGTTAAGTAATTACGTTTGTAAATATAAATAGGGGTAGAGGGGGTAAGAAGAAGTCGGATATTACAATATTAGGGAGTTCGATAGAGAAGGTAGCGGTTATTCTCTAAACTCCTAAATTTCCTAGTACGGCCAATGTTAGTATTATAGTTAATAATTTATAGAGTTGCTTTGTTAGTAAAATAATAGAGATAGAAATAATAGTATATATTAATTATTTTATAAATAATCCGCTAATTGCAACGATGTAGATAAGGTTGAGTAAGGGTATAAAAAGTACGTATATAGATAGATAGAAACGAGGGATTTAGAAAGATGTGGTACTAGTTAGAAAATTAAATAATTTACAATTATTTTACTAGAATTATAGAAGTAAATACCCTTTTTTTTTATTAGTAAAATCTTAGTAAAATTAAATATTCGATTTTATACAAATAACTCGATTTTATACGATTTTATTTAAATAATTCGATTTCATACAATTTTATTCAAATAATTCGATTTTATATATAATAATCTTATTACTCTTCCTTTTGCCTCCTTTCGCCTCCCCCCCTCCCTTTATTCTACCTTCTACGAATCGATTACTATTATTTATTTATTAACTAAATTACATTATAACGGATATTATTAGAATAAATACCCTTTACTACCTCCTTCGTTCGCCGGCGCGCTATTTTTATTATTTCTTCTTTAATTAGTATTAATACTTTCACCTCTTTCTTTGAGTATATAGTAATAAAATTATAAAGTCCGGTTACTACGTATATAATTTAGACCTATTTCTTTATAGAGTATTCGATAGGTGCGATTTATATAATCTTCTACCTTTTTTTTATAAAATTGGAAATTTATTTAATAATAATACGGATACGAGTATAATATAATATTACGGAGCGAGAGGGCACCGTTGGGGGCAAGGTAAAATATACGTTATTATACGAGGGAGGAGAAAGGAAGTGTGCGTAGAGGACTGGCTATATAGGCGAGAGCCTAGTCTAAGCTAGTCCGTACGCGTATATATACGTAGGGCTATACGTAATTAAAACTGTTAATAGCTCTAGATTAGAGGCGTATAGTATAACTACATTATAAGCTAACCCTATAATACTATCCCCCCCTCAAAAGAAGCTCGCAGAGCTGAAAAAAAAAAAAAATCTATATATATATATAATAATAAATCCCATCTCAAAAATAGTTGTAATCTACTAATTGCGTGGGAGGCAGCTTCCTAAATTAAATATCTATTGATTATTATATAACCTTACTAAATACTAAACACAATTTATCCTCTACGTTTTTACTAACTATTATAATAATTAGCTCTATTATTATTATATTCGGGAGAGGCCTCGTATTGGTTATAGAAGCCGTTTCCTATTAGAAACGTACGGAGTAGTAGCACGGGGGTTCTAATATAAGAGCAGGGGCGGCCGAAGAGTCGGAGGCGAAGCGCTAGAGGATTCTCTAAACTCCTATTAGTACTAGCTTATTCGGATTCTTATAATAGAAATACTAAAAATAATATTTGTAATTAATAATATTAATAACAGGTTCCTAAGTAGGATTTCCAATCTTCTATTTAATATAGTAGTACTAATATATATTGCTACCCAATTAAACGCAATTAATAAATTTCTTAAAAACCTATTCTTCGTATTCCTTTTAATTATTTATTCGGATTATAACCCGTTCTTTATTTACCTTTATATCCGTCGTAGTATTTTAACCGGGTAGTTCCGTACCTAACTAAGGCTATACTATAGAAATATAAAAGACGGGTAAGTACTTTATATTAGTAGGTAAGGAGAGGTAGACTATATATAAATTAGTATAAACGATTTTGAAAGGACCCTCCTAGCGGGGGGAAAAGTTTATATATAGTCGACCGTTAGCGAAGTTTGTAATATTTAAAAGAATTATATTATTAATATAGTATTTAGGGGAATTAATATATTTTATATTAATATTATTTTTATAATACTCTTATATATAGTAAATTTACTAAATAATAAAATCCTATATCTTTTAGAAATAATCTACTAATTCGTTAATTTTATAGTACTCCTTAAATTAAACCAGCGAAACATTTAAGGGTAGCAGGGTTCGGAATTTTATATTTATACGAAGGTAATAACTATAATTAGCGAAGAATAGTAAAATCCCTATTAATAAAGAAATAGCGTTATTACCGGCGAATTCCGCGAGTAATAATTATTTAGCCCAATTTATTTAAACCCAATTAATATATATCCTTAAAAACTATTCTATTTCCGTATTAATATATTTAATCTCTATATTAATCTAAGGGTGGAAGGCGGAGGTTAATTTCCTAATAATAGATAGTCTTTTACAAAAAGTAGACTAGAATTGTAATACAAATTAAGTACCTTTATTAGATAGAATACTATTTAGTAAACTATAGATAGAGTAAATATAGTCGATAAACTAATTAATTAATTCCTTAACTTTTAAAGTCTTTATTAAAATATAATACCGTATTTTTATAAGACGGTTAATAATAATAGTAATGTATTTAAAAGTTTAGCTAAAATAGGTACTCTCTAATAGTAAGGTAATATAATTAATTAAAATTGCTATCTATAGTACTAGGGAAATAATTACAAATTTAAAATAATTAGCGGAACTATTTTTCAATAATTTAATTTTAGTATAAGGGAGGCATCCTCTATAAAAGAATCTTATATTATTATATATTCCTTCCTAATAGAAATTATATTATAAGAATTTATACGTAGTATTATAACCGGGGTAGCCCGCGCCGGGAGTATTATATTAGTAACTAATTAATTAGAATTAGAGGCTTTTATTATAAGAGTTAATAATAATTCTATCCCTCCACTTTATAATACCACTAATAATATAGTATTTTAAAAAGCTTCTATAGAATACCTTCCTAATAATTAATAGCTACTACCAATGTAATATATCTATTAAATAGGATACTAATTTTTAAAGGAAAATTAAAGTCTTATAACTTATATAAATAAAATTATTAATAAATTTAATTTTAAAGTCCTTAAATCCGAATAAATATAGTAAAAAATTATTAATAGGGTCCTTAAAATAACTATCTTTAAACTACGAGTGATCGAATAAAAGTTTTTTACGGGTAACGAAGCGGCCGTCCTCTTTACTGTTGGGGCAATTATTAGTTTTATAATTTAAAGTATCAGAGTATAAATTTTTAGAACCCGGGGTATACTTTATTAAGAAATTGAATTAAAATAGGAATTAAGACTAGCGTATATACTATTAAGTAAATTATTTATTCGTTATAAAGGTTTAAAAGTTTTTATAATCTATTAAAATATTAAAAGGCTATTAAATACCCTCAAACTCCGGCCGCCATTCCTCGAATACCTTTATAATAGCTAGTAATTTCTTATTATAAATATTATAATTATATTCTTATAAAGTATATCTAGCGGAAAAGTAGGCTATAGGGTAGAAGATTCTATTATTACCATATTAAGAAAGGGTACTACTAGCGGCCTAATTAAAAGTGTCTATTTTAATAATTATTTTCTTAGTCTAATCGTAAATCTTTAATGTGGGACCTTCTATCAAAAACTTCTTTAAAAATTCGAATACTTATTAGTAATTAATATTCCAAACCTAAACTATATCCCTCTTTATAAGTTCGTAAAGTAGGGTTACTATAATCGAAAAATCTTTAATAAACCGTTAATAGAAATTTACAAAGCTAAAGAAAGATTAAAGGAACTTCTTAAACTCTAGGGCTAACTACTCAATTACTACTTTAATTTTCTCTAAATCTATTTCAATACCTCCTAGGGTAATAATTAGCCCTAAATACTTAGTATATATAGTATAAAATTTATATTTATTAATATTAATACTAAATCTTATTCCAGTTAACTAGTCGAAAATAATATTAATATACTATTCGTAGTCCTTTATATTATCCAAATAAATTAGAATATTATTGAAATATATAATTATATAAATATTAAGGATATTATATAGAATATTATTAATATAATTCTAAAAAGCACCGGGAATTCCCTATAAACTAAAGGGAATAACGAAGGATTCAAAAAGGCTAAAGCGTATTATAAATATAGTTAGTTATTTATAGCCTTATTTTATTCAGATATAATTAAAAGCGGCTATTACATCGAATTTTATAAAAATTTTAGTATAGTAAATTACGTCTAGAGTCTCTTTAATAAGTAGGAGTAAGTAGCGGGACTTAAGAGTAATATTATTAATTCTTCTATAATTAATATAAACGCGGATTCTACTTCCTAGTTTCTTAACAAGTAGGACTAGGGCTAAGGCTTTTAATCATAATAGCCAAATAAACTTCTTTTTAAGGTTATTATTAATCTATTTTTTATAATACTAAATTCATCTAAATTAAAGGTACGACCGCGGGTAACGGGCGGCGAAGCTCTTAAATAGAATTCGAATTTAAAATCGTATAATTAATTAGGAGGAAGAACCTCTATACCTTTCTGCCTAAAAGTATTAATATAATACTAATACTATTTAGAAAATTTAATTTAAATTTTAATATCGGTCTTTAAAGGTTTATCCACTTTCTTATAGAATTTAATAATATCTTCGGATATAATTTTACTAATATTAATATTATTAGTAGCAAAATACTTATTAATTACTTCTTCGTAGTATAGGAAATTATTATTAGTATTATTAATCTAAACGGAATTAACGATCTTTATTATACATAAGGTAGTCGCATCTCCCTTCCTAATTAAAACGTTAATTTATTAATAATAATTACTACTAAATAACTTCTTATACTTTTAATTATAGTCCATTAAAACCTCCTTAATTATTTCCTTAATAAAACTATCACTCACACTCCTAAGATCTAAAACGCCTCCTTCTTCCTCTACCTAATCCTCCTTTTCTATTCTTTTAATATCTTCCTCTATTTCGGCCCTAATAGTATAAATAATTTAGAATTTTATTGTTTTAATTAGTTAATTAAAATTTATAGTAGAAAGCTCCCTAATATTATTAGGGTTAATAGGACTATTAGAAATACTATAGAGACGGATTAGAGACCGGTAGTCCGTAATTCTAATATAAATTCCTCTAATAATCTAATATAATACCGGCCAGTAAATTAGGGTACTAATTAAGAGGTCTATTAATATAAGTACTTAATTAGGGCCAATTAGAATTTTATTGAATAGGGTAATACCTAATTAATTAACTATTTAATTCTTAAACCGATTAAATTTCTAACGAGTAGTTTATTTTATAATTATTAAAATAAATAAATAGCGGACGGACTCTATTTACAATAGTTTTAATTCCTCTTTATCGGGCACTTCCTTATAAGAAGGCTTCCTATACGTAGAGCGAATACTAAATATATTAAAGCGGGGAATAGAGAGGTAGTATACTACTAAGGGAATATAATAATTAGTAATTCTATAAGGAAAGCAACCGCATTATTCGTAAGCAGGACCGAAACAAAAGGAATTACTAGGCTAATTAATATCCGGAGCGTAATATACCAACTAAGGGTAACTAAAAATAATAGAGTTATCTTTAGTAAAATTATAAATAAAGAGATTAATAATCTCGTAATAGATTCCTACCTATATTATTACCCTAATAAAATAGGTAATATTACCTTTAATTTAACTATTAACGAAGTATGATAATTTAGGAACTAATAATTTAAAGAAGGGAAGGTAGTACCAGAATACAAAGCGTTGGTTAATAAAATTAAGAGTAATATAATTACTATTAATAAGTATAGAATAATACAATTTACACAGTCCGAAAGAAAGGTGGATAGAAAGATTTAATAAATTAAAATATTTATAACAATTATTTACTAAAGATTTATTTATCTTAATAATATTTAACTATATAAGGATAAACCCCTATAGTCTTCTTTCTTATCCTATAGACGGGCGCCTCTAAATATAATTTAGGTTAGAGATTATATATTTCCCTATTCCTAAATTAAATTAGCCTTATTACTTATAAAAAGGCCAACGAAACTAAACTAGTAAATTAGAACCGGGTAGTAGTTACCGCCGGGGGTACCGGGAATTAAAATAGCCGTTAGGAAGCCTATAGGGAAGCTAATACCTATAGTATTAATTTAATAACCGCTGTTATAATTAGGGCGCTACTAACTATAACTATATTAACCTTAAGCCAGCCGCTACTACTAACTATTATTACTATTAGTATTATTATTACTATTATTACTGCTATTATTCTTATTCTTATTCCAATTTTTATTTCTATCCCTACGTAGCTTAACTTCCTTCTTAAAATTAATATAAGTATAGTACTCTACGGAGAAATAACCCTTCTTACTGTAGTAAGTATATATATTATTTTTTATATAGTATTCAAAGATCTTATTATTAATTATACGAGAAATTTAGACGTCGGAGGTAAATATTATATTAAGGTTTATAACGGAGCCTCCCTAACTAATAGTAGCCTCTCTAGTAACTAAGGAAGCGTTAGAAATACCGGCGGCGGTAATACTAGAACCGGTCTTATAATAAGGGTTAGAATTCTTATTACGCTAATCTTTATCCTCTAAATTCTTTATAAAATTATAAACAAGAATTAATTACTTATTATACTTATTATTAGCAGATTAAAGGTTCTAGTAAATAATAATAGTACGGAAGTAATCCGAGATCTTTTAATATAAATAATAAATTTTTATACTATTGTTAAAATTATAATAATTAACTAAATAAATAAAATTATCTTCGAATTCCTATTACTTTATACCTTTAATCATCTTCAATTCCTCGAATTTATAGCGGGAATAAATAATAATATTAATATTATTATACTTTATAATAAATTCTACTAAAAAGGCCTTAACTATAAACTATTTAACTAGGAGCTCAACTAAAACCTTAATAAATTCGAATTCAATAGCCTCAAAAAGGGCACCCTTAATAGAGCGGGTAATAAATAAGAACTTCTTATACTCGGTATTAAAAATTTAAGGGTCGTCCGACCAAGCGAACTAAATACGAAAATACCAAGTGCGAAATTTAATAAAACGCTTCATAATAATACTTTTATTATTAAATACAAGTAATATAATAATATATAATACCGACCTATAGCCGCTACTATTATCTATAGAAGCTATAGTATTAGGTTTAAATTCGTTATTACTAAAATTGTTATCCTTTAAAAGAATAATATTAGAGGTTTAGGCGGTAATAAAACATTAGCGTAGATCGTTAATCGTTTTTTAATATTTCTCCTTCTACTTCTAATAAATAGTTCTAAAATTAATTTTTAAAGTAGAAAATTCTAACCTTAGGGTAATAATATCTATTCGAAGCAAACCTACTTCAGCGGTATAGACTTTACGTATAACCTTAATTATAATTTTATAATTCTTAGCAGCTTCTTATATTTAAAAGAGGACTTTAATTTAAATTATAGTAATATTACTATTAAATTATTTAATTTTTTACTAAACGGATACTACTTAGGATTCAACAATATCGAATAGCTCTTCTATTTCATATACTTCTATCTTAATACCAACAACATCCTTATAAATTAATTAATTAAAGGCTATAAATATAGTATAGAAGACAGGGAGGCTAGTGAGGCTAAAGGTATCGTCAATTAGAATATTATTTATAGCAACTATTTAATTATTAAAAGTCTCAAACACTTACAAAATATTTAAATAATAATTGAAATCAATTGGGTCGGCTATTACGAAAGTACTAATTACTATAATTACTAAAAAGTTATTAATTATTAAAGGGTTGGACATTAATTGCTAGATTAATACGCTGGCAAATATAAAGAAGAAAAAAAGAGCGAACTACTTAATTACAATATTTAGTTTAATTGTTACCTAACTCAAAGTCTAAGATTGCAACAGAAATCTTAATTATACTAATACGAATCTTAATTAACTAATTAATATAATTAAAATCGATCTTCCTCTACTAATAAATACGTACAGCGTAATAGCTTAATATAATAAACTATTATAGAGCGAAAGGGCATTATTAGGGGTAAGGTAGGATATATATTATTATACGAGGAAGGAGAAAGGAAATATACGTAGAGGACTAACTATATAAGCGAAAGTCCAATCTAAGCCAGTCCGTACGCGTATATACACGTGGGGCTGCACGTAACTAGAGCCGTTAATAGCTCTGGACTGGAGGCGTACAGCATAACCACATTACAAGCTAACCTTGTAATATATAAGTTGTATAGCTCCTTCGCTATTTTTAGGGGTTTATTTATATTTTTCTATTTTTATAAATAATATTTAATATTCGAATAAGGAATTATAATCCCTAATTGGGTCTTAAACCCTATATTTAATATATAATATTATAATTCTAATATATAAAAAGATCTCCCAAACGTATAAATATATAGTAAAGTATTATTTAAAGACCCCTCTACTCCCGCTAGCACATATATAAAGGTATAATTGAATTTTATAACAGTATAGACGTTCTGTATAAGGTTGCCTTTTTGATTATAATATCTTTATTATTACTATAGCGGTATATAAGCGGTAACGTAAGTCCTATTAATAGTATTAATATAACTATTAGAAGAGTTAAGAGTTAGGTTTAATTTAATATCCGGGTCTAAATAATTGTCGTTTAGTAACTTTATATATTCTTAATAGAGGGAGACTAGTTTAGGTAGTAGTTCTACGATAATAGTATTTACAGTGCTCTAGTTTATTTAAAATTTATAGGCGGTAATTTACTATAATTTAGTATAAATTAATATATATAGTATTACTATTACCTTTTAGTATATAGTTTAATATTTAGTAGCCTCTAGACTATTAATTTAAAGCTAAGTAATTAATATATTGAAAGTATATTAATTTATACAAAAGAGGTCTTTAAATTAGGTTTTAAATCTACAATATATAATATTTGCTAGTTTTCTAATATATATAAACTATTAGGGTATATAGGGGTAAGCGGCTTATAGTCTTTTTTAGCACCAAGGAGAATATAGATAACGCTCATTATAGTAATAGTAAATATAGTTTAGTTAGTACTATCTATATCGATTTATATAATAGGATTCGAATAACTAATTTATATAGGAACTATAATAGACCGTCGTTTCTAATATCCTACAATAAGAAATCCCAAGATATAATAGAGCCTCATCTATACCCTAAAACCGTATTAACTTAGCTGGATTTTTATTGTTTTATACTGTCTACACGCGCCAATCTGTACGAATACTATATACGAGCTTAAAAATATTAGTTTGGAGACTATTTTTAATTC